AAAATTGCCCATCAGAGAGCGAATACTCAGGATCGTGCATACTTTTTCTCGTTAGGGGTCGTTGTATCTTAGAAAGCTTTTAGAGCCGAGGTAACCTCGGACCCCTCAGTGGACAGCTTTAAGAAGAAACTTGATAGACACGTATTCAAATGCGGATTATCATCTCCTTCGTGGACCACCTGTGTCTGAGAACTGCTGGTTATCATTATTGCCATCTCCTCAGATCACTTACTTGATCTACCTTGCTTATTTTCTCTGCTTCCTTTCTATCGCTGACACTTCAGTCTTCTCGCACAATCTCCATTACCGATTAGAATTAGTGCAGTTAAGACCCCATTGATTGGAAACTACCATAAACCTCAAACCTTATCGAGAGAGTAAGAATCGAGCGCAAAGAAATCAGTTGGTTTATTCTTGTTCGTGAAAATAATATTAGATCACTTTAAGATGTGATCTCTCCTACAGTTTTATAGAACTATATATTATTAAAACATTTATAAATACAGTAGAATCATGAACCTTTATTCACTGAATCAGAAAGTGCTCATATCGCCCATTCACAGAATGATTTCACACTGTTGATACACTGTGTTCTACAATTTCTTCTGTACAAATAATTAGGAATTTTGAGCTCTGATAGATAGTTTAATTTACTTTTAGTCTACTCGTTTCAGTCATCCTTCTTTGTGTTATTATGAATAGTTATTGATTCGCATTCATTGCGGGCTTTTGTTTATCATTTGTTTTCCTCGTTTATTTATTTTATATTGCTTGACCTTGAGTAACTACTGAACCAATATTAATTTCTTAAAAATCTGACTTGTATTATTATAAAAAAGCATATCAAGTCGGGGTATGCCTGTTATGTCATGGATAAACTCTATCCCCAAGACGAGTCCAGAATCATGTTGAAACAGATAGTACATGCTAAAAACTTCAAAGTATTCATTTGAACAATATTGTTGTTTCCTTTTCCCCACCATTTTGTATTTCGCCTTATGATCAGGACTATTGCAATCATTTTTACATTTATCGATCTCCTTTGTCTATATTTCACTTCTGTCACTATACACGCTTACCACTTAAGTTTGCTGTTGCCTGAAGCCGGGCCATTGATTATAATGCCGGTATACCTCATCTCATGATCTTAGCCGTAACCTGCCTGCAGGAAACAATCATTCAAATTATTGCGGATATGTCGTTGGATATAACCTTACTTGTTCTCAAGGACCGGGCACACATTTGTTAACCATTACTTTTTTGTTTGGTACGCTATTTTGTGCTAGGGAATGGATTGACCGTGTGATACAGGATATGTCAGCTGGGGTATTTTGTATTTTTTATGTAATATGCTTTCTTTCTAAACTTGGAATGGGTAAAATTGTTCACAGAGTTTGTTGCTGGATAAAATTTAGTGCGAGCCATCCAAAGATGCTTTTTCTGCTTTACAGAAGGTCTGACTGGATAGTGCTTGGATCATGCATTCTGTGTTCTAACCAAATACTGAAGCTTTTCTCGGTAAATGCTTGCATCATAGTGTACTTGCCTGGATGCTCGGTACTGATGTGCTTACACATGCTGCCACACCAATAAATTCCATACCGAAAAATTCCATGAAACATTAGTGACTTGCAGTAACGCATCACCGTAATCGATCTGGTCCGTAATCGAATACACTGCATTTTTCCAGGTCTTCCTATGCGTAGTTTGTCGGTTTACGATGAAAATAGTGGCTAAAATCGTTGTAATTACCTTAGAGACAAGCTATTTTAGTTAACTCGGCATTTTAATGGGGTACATTTAACATGTTACTGGCAGTTACAAGGTACTCAAACTCCCTGTTCCATTGTAAGATCCTTCTTGTTTAAGCATTAACAGTTTTATAAATTTTTGTTTCCCAAACTAATTAACATCCAAACACCTTATCTTCTTATCAACTTATCGCTTCACGCACTAATTTTTTAACATTATTTCATCTCTTCTTCTTCCTACTTCCAAACTACCTAATAACTGATGCATATCTTACAGTTTATACCATTAGTTTACTTAAAATCAGTGTGATATGCTTTGTGCATACAGAAGCCATAGTCGTCTGGTTTGTTTGTAAAGTGGAGCTGGTAGAGAAAGTGCATTCCGACAAGGTATACAAAGAATAGAGCGTATACTTAAAAAAATTATTTAAAATCTACCATTAAACGTAAGAGAGCCTAACATCACAAAAAGAGGGAGGTTTGTGTATCTGACCAGCATTCACAACAGTGGGGCGACAAGCTCAAATCTACACATGATTGTGGGGAAAAACATTTTGTTTGCTTACTGTTCCTTACGATATGGCAGGATTTAACAAATCAGTGATATTGTACTTACATTTTTCTCGTAAACCTCGTCTACGGCTCGTATTCGTAACATTGCACTGGTTTTAACTTCCTACCATGAAATCCTATTACAAGCAGATCTAGACAATTATACTGAAAAAGAGCTACCTCATGACTACTTGAGCTACAGAGTTAAAAATAAAAAGAATAAATAAAATATCACAGAAGCATCCGATCATTATGCCTCATTATTATATTCTGTAAATCAACATTATTGCTAACAATTTGGTTCTTCTGAATTTCCTATATTCAAACAATTAATTGCTCATTCGTTTACTTACTAGTGACTTGCCTCCATTAACATACATATGTGCAGATGTACTGTTAGTAATCTAAATAAAAAGTATCTGCTGAGTCATTGTTCAGTCTTAAACATGAATATCTTCTGTTCTCCTCCTAGCCCCGTTCTCTCTATTGCTCTTTTTCAGCACTCCAGTCCTTAAATACTGGTCTGGATATTTGCCAAAGACTTGTTTACTTTACCCAGGATCCTGTAAATTTATTATTTGAAGAATAACAAGCAGATCTTAGCACACTTACCTTCTCGATTCTCGTTATATACAGACCTGACTTTAAATTTCATTGTTTCTCAGCCAATAGCTGTTCGTTGTAATTCAATTATTCTCATTGTACATTGAAGAGTCTGGAAAATTATGTGAAAAATGTATCTTGTGAAATATTTCAGTAACCGGACAACATTTTACAAAAATAATGTTAGCCATCCTAATATATTGATCTTGCCTGCCTCTTGTAACATGTTGCTATTTGAGAATAAATTATTATTATTATTATTATTATTATTATTATTAAAACATGGTTACAGAAGTCCTTAGTACAAAACACGGTCAAAGAAAACATAGCGGTGTTTGGTGAAATGCTGTGGAGGAATCTTTAGGGTAAGCTTTCTGATAATTTTTACGTCACCATAATACTAACAACGACCTTGCAAGTTCGCTGGCACTTAATCCCGGGGTTAATCGATATCACTGGACCGAAGAGCGCTGGTTATTGTGAGTTCTATGAATCTCCTTTGACATAAACTTCATAAACTCTGCATATTCATAACTTATGTTGCAATCTTTCGCTCACTATTTTGTTACATTTGAACGATTAAATAATAAAGTTGTTGAACACAAAAGTGTTTCAGTTTGCGTTCGGGCTATTGATTCCTGGGTAAAAGTATATCATCAGAAAATGATCAATTTTCCTTCAACAGTAAGCAAGTACTTTGCAATTAAAACTTTCCATCGTTTTTGATTGCATAGTACTTCATCAAATGCTATGTTTTGTTTCACATAATAATCTGTTCTTGATATAAGCCATATTTATAACAAGATGCGTAAGTGGTTACGCTCAAGCTGTGTGGTTTACCCGATTGCTTTTAGGCACAGAAATCTGCTTTGTTTGGCAAATATTTTTCTTCCTGTAAATCAAGTGGTTTTTATGTTCTTACTATTTGCTTTAGTGCCGACTCGTTTATACGTGTTCTCTGGAGCATTTTGTTAGGAGCAGTAATTAGCTAGGAGTAATAAAATATACCGTAGGTCTTAAATCTATCTTTAAATCCGAATAGAAATATAAACGCCAAAAACATTGGTTTAATCATATTTTAGCGTCAGTGGGCACCGGTCATAGGATCAGTGGTACTAAAGTGAAGAACCCAGACATTCGGATGTGTTTTATAATGTTATTATCGTAGGTCAGACAAAGCACGGCACAATCAGACGCTTGATCGGGTGCCTTCGTCTTGAGATATGTACGGTGAAACGTAAAAGGATCAGTATAGGTATCGAGGGCCTACAGACCTGTTTATTTTGAAGGTTTTCCCGCTTCCACATCATAAATATTTCTCGAATTATCTTCTCTTCTCAGAATATGTTCTTCACACCTAGCCCTTTTGCTATCACTCCTACGGGCTTCATGTTGACGATGAGATTTTTTCATCACTTCTCCGATTTCATGTGATGCATATATGCTGATTTATACTTTCCATATGAACTTCACAGTGTGAGTCTGTTGTGCTTTAAATCCTAATTGACAACTTAGTGTCACTATAAGCCTATTAGAGGAAAACTGAACGAAGGTGCACATCTGTATTCCTAATAAATAGGCGGAATGTAACCCATACTAGTTTTTATTGGTTGGTATATGTCGTACGACGCTGTATAAACTGTGTCGTTTACTTATTTCTTTTTTTCTTTTAAAAAGTTAGTTTAAAATTCTTTTCGTTTTTCTCTTCCTATCCCAGGGCAGTTTCCAACACTGAACTGTCATCATTTACCACATTTTCATTATTTACTGCAGTTCTGGCTCTCACCATGATACGGTTGTCTCCCATACTTTATTCTTTTAGACACAGTCAAGCAAAATGTCTGATTAATAATGAACACCGCTTACTAATCCCAATATACATGTAATGTTCCCCAACATACAGATTATCCTGTTTTGACTTGATAGCGCTAACTTGACAAAGATTTCGTAATGCACCGTCAGACCTTGATAGGCCCAGAATTTATATCAACAAGATACACCTGGAACAGTACCGAAAGAACAAGAATCGAACACAAAAAAAGGAAAATGGTTTATTCTAATTCGCGTTGAAGATATTGGATATTGCACCTAGCCGCGTGATCTGAGGAAGTGCGTTACAGTGGCTCATGCTAGTTAATCTCAAGCTAAGCATTTTACTCAAAAAGACTGTCCTCAGAAGCTAGCATTTGGTTAGTAAGACAACAAAATAGTTTTTTCCCACTGACACAGGTTTTTATGGCTGCTTGGTAGCGGGTGTTTGCTGAGAGTGGTTGTGTCGTCTCGGACTCCTAACTATACGGGAAAATTAGTGAATCTGGTAGAAAATGTTTTGGGGAAAAGGGCTAAAGGCATGAATTTTTGTTTGAGTAAAGCGTTTTGACTGTTATGAACTATTCATCCGCCGATCAAGTTTACAACAGGATGTCACACTTAAGCCTTAACTGTATTCAACCTCATTTAGATTACTGAAATATATTATTTCCTCTCTCAATCCAGATAAAAACAAATGAACTGAAGCATGTCTAAATGTGAGTCACAAACTTAGTTCGAGGACTCGGTTCATACCCTAAAGGCGCCACAAGTCACTGGCTCTGTACCCATTAGAGTAATAGGAGTACCGGAGGTGACCTGATGAATTACTGCATCCTGACCACTCCTAGGTTCACCCTAGGATATTTCATCTAGCACAATTCCATTACTGACCTTGAAGGCAATACACAGAAACTAGAGGCACAACAGCGGAGCGGACTGTAGGCACATCTGTTCTGGATGACGCCGCTGGCTGAAGTAGTCCAAGCAACTTGCCAACAGTCCTTCGAAAAGAGACTTGATAGATTCTTAAAGACGCCGGGTAGTATTTCATTATCTACCAATATTTTTCTTTTGCTTGCTAAATATACCTTGTTTCCTACGTGGAGGCATCGAAGACCCATTATTACTAGATACGCAAGTCCATTAAGTGTAAGCTATTCCGTCTGCAGCTATTTGAACCATTTTAGTTCATTATTAAAAAAATTTGTATGTACCTAATGTTAAAAACACTGCGATTACTATCGATAAAATTTGAACAAAAAGTCTGTGTGAATAAATAGAATCTCAATCACAAAGCGATACTCGTCCTGATACAAAAACAAGTTTAAGGCCGAAATTTGACTAGTTGTTCTACAAAATTTGCCGGACTTCCCGGTGACCATAGGAATTTCCACAAACTTTTCGCAGCCTGCAATAAATTGTCCAAAATTTCTGTATCTAACCCAAAATTTTCATCAAGGAGCTTTCGAAAATACTACTACAACTCTCCATTCTGAAACCTTTATTAGAACCTGGCATTTAGCGTTTTATACCCATACAAAATTGTAGTTGTCTATGACATCCCAAAATGTGTAGCTGCTGCTTGTAGTGGTTGGTTTTAGAAACAATGAATTAATAATGGGGACGGAGAAATCCCATCGACGTTATCCATGTAGTCAGTCAGTTACAACGTAGAACTTCGTACGTATGTAGATCAATGTAGTCTTCCATCTAAGTACTTCTTGCTGGCATCATAATCATGTATCACCGTTATCGGAAAATTAATGCCATTCACTACGCAATATATACAGTCATACTGAAATATATGCACAATTGAGTGTAGTTGTACGATAAAGTTGCTAGACGATTTGTTAGATGGAATTTGTACTAGTATCCTTGGCATTTGGAAAATCGAAATCGAGCCAAAACACAAAACAATGATATTAGGAAATTGTGGATATAATATACTGTGAGTGACAGATGATTATGACTAAAAAGGAGGGCGAAGTCATCAAAAAATGTACAATTTCTTAGTTAATTTCATAGAACGTCTCTTCAGACGACAGGATACCTAGTGAAAGATGTAAACGTTGCAGCGTTGTAAATCAAATGTATGTGGTAATAATCATTATAAAACTAATAAAATGACTAAAAATTTGCATGTAGGAACAATTAGACTAGTCGTTAACGGGTATGATTATTACATTAACCTTTACTATCAAGCTTTGACAAATGCATGCATGAAGATAAGTGTTAGTACAATCTATTAACTTCACTATGCAATGTTCAAGAGAGCATAAATCATTTTAAAAATGAATGATAAAGATATACAAAACGAATACTTAGCGTTTGGCGAAGGGTTAGCTTCTAAGTATCCACCTTGGTATGATCAATAATGGTTCATCCAACCTGGTTATCGACTACATAGGAGTGTAAAAGTAGTCAGTGTTTTTAATTTTCTCTTCTTTGAACCCTTCCACAGTGTGTGCAGCCGGGAAGTGACATCCGGCTTCTCAATCGTAACAAGACACAAGACCAAACTAGTCATAATCATATCCTTCTTATGCAATCTCTAACTTGATTAGCAACCTTTGTAAATCATCCATTTACCTAGTGAGGTTTTTGACATGAAAGCATCTCATCTATATCTATATCGGTTGCATGGAAACCGAGGATATTTTCTCATGTTAACCTCTATTTATCTGTTATACGGAAATCATCTGAGGAAATAATGTCATATGTAATCATAAGTAATCAGTGAAGTTCGAGGAACATTGAAATTAATACAGCACATGATTTAGTTTGTTGTGTTCTTCTTGAGAAATAATGTCACTAAATTTAAAAGGTATGTAAAGAGAGCCCTACAACCTTGTAGTAATGTGTAGAGATACACTCAGTAAATCTGTTTTAGAAATCCCCATACATTTATGACCAACTACTAGACACTATGACTACTCCAGTGAAATTTATCAACTCCCATTATTAATTCATAGTTTTTAGATCCACTTCTCTATCCACGGACATCGATCATATCTTCACCTTTCTCCAAGTGTTAGGGCACAGCCATACTTATTGTAAGCAAATGGTCGCTGTGTTTACTCTAGGATTGTATTTTGCAAAAAGGTGTGTCTAAGGAGTCTTTCAGGCTCTGTATACAAACACGTCCGAGTTAGAGCATACAATCACGTCTACCCCTTGTGTCATCCAAACGGCGTCGTTAGTCAGGATTGGCCAATCCTACCATTTCGCTTTGACTTTGCCATCGATGACATTCTGGAGCCAACGCTAATGAAACTAGATAACAGTAATGTGGCCCCACTGCTTAGAGAAAGACTTCACGACCGTGAGTATGCAGAGGATGTTGTCGTACTGTGCGATGAAACCCAAGCCATGCAATCAAAACTTAGTCAATTGGCAGTGTCCGCACGTATGGGATGAAGTTTGCTTCATATATAAATGCAGACTACTTCTATAAAACTGGCAGGATCCAGTGGCTGCTCTCTTGGTGGTAATTTGTTAGAAGTAGTCCAGAAGTTCGTATGTTTAGGCAATTGTGTGAGTGCTGGTGGTGACGTAACTGATACGACCAGTCTACTTATATTAAACACCTGAGTGGCATATGTTAATTCGAGGCATTTTCAAGGCCTACCTAATGCTAGTTTGACTTAATAGTGGGGTCTACAATGTGTCGTGGAGAGTGGTTTCGCTCCATGCTTGCAAAATCTGGCCTCCAAGTTAAGGATGCTGAACAGTACTATACGGTCAGCTATCCTTGTCTCTAAAGGGTTGCTGATATTCCACGGCGACGCGATGTTAGTAATGCAGATTTGTGGCAACTTTTGTTTGAGTAGTGACAGTTTAATTGGTATCATCAACTTGAAACACTGGCTTCGGTGGTTTGGACATATTTTACAAATGTGATTCTAGCGGCTCCCACGTTCATTATTTGCCGAAACCGGGTCTAATAAGAAAAAAGATAGCCAGCTTACGGTATGATTCTTGGGTATGGAAAAAAAGTGTTGAAGTCTAAGAGATAATGCAACCCAGTAACTAAAAACGTTATCGGATATGGCTCAGAATCAAAACCAACAGCAGTTCTACTGTAGTATTGTTTTACAATCATCATAAAAATGTAAGAAATTCACTTAACTGAATGAATTGTTTCTTGCTTTTTTTAACTGAACTGTTTCTCCTACAATGTGCTACTTTCATTCCTACCCATTCACCTACTTTTTACTATACTCTCCCTTGCAATCTTGTGACAATTTAATTTCCTTATTTGTATGGTACAAGAATGTTCCCTTTTCTTCACAATGTTGTCCATACCTTGTGGCACGTTCTATCCTTTGGTACCATGGTGTACCAGATTTTATGTGCTTCAACAAGTAAAAACTAATTGGATTATAATGAATCTATGGAATATTCTGTAAAAGTTGTGAATTGAACTTTCTTTTTATCTCTTTGTAAACCAGACACGGTGAACTTTAAAGATTTACCTATTCATCGCTTTAATATTCTGTAGATTCTTTTATGAAAAAATGCCCAGCTAATACGGACTAAGTTATTTAGATAACTAAACTTCGTGTAGTTAAAGAGTTGTCTATATCAATAAATCAATTTTCTTTATCCCTATTTGATACTCAGGCGATAATTTTAATCTCCTCTTTCTTATGTTTGCATGGGTAAGTTCAGTGTGTTTTATCATTCTCATTACAATAATATCATTTTATAGGGTGCAAACAGTCATGGCCAGTTGGGTACAGGAGATGATAAAGATGTTTATGAACCTAAAATCATCAGTTTCAGTGAACCTATTACACTGATCACAGGAGGTGGTGGTCACTCAATGATTTCAAATGGTAAATGAAAAACGAAGTAATATTATGTACCAAGAAAACAATATATTTAGCTGTGGCTTGAATTCTGTTGGCCAATTAGGTCGTTCAAATGACCGAAAGTACTTCGAACTAATTCCATTCTCTTTTCCATCGACCGTTAGTATAGTGTCATGTGGCTGGGATTTTTCTGTTGCAGTATTGAATGATGGATCTGTTTTTGCATGGGGTTCAAATGCATATGGGCAGTTGGGTAACAAAAATGTTAATTCAAGCATAGTTCCTGTAAAATGTTTTTGGTTAAAGATGATACAAATTTAGGTTCGTGTTGACATAGAGCCTGTTCGATCTATATCTGCTGGTTTAAGACATGTTGTTTCTGTAACAGGTGATTTTGTTTCCCATTAAATAATTTATTTTCTAGTCTCCGGAAAACTATTTGGTTGGGGTTCTAATCGCCGAAAACAATTATTCCTTGATAAAGTTTTGGATAAAGCTGAGGATTATGATGATTCAAAAGAAATATGCTACCGTCCCACTGTATTAAACTCTGTACTAGGTGGTACATATGAGTGCATCGATTGTGCTGCTGGTGCATATCATTCTGTAATAAAAACAAGTATGTTACAGGCTCTTGTAGGTTTAATCTTGTTCACCTACTGGTTCAGTAATAATTTATAATTTTTCTCATCTTTAGGAACAAATCAATTGGCTCTTTTGGGAGACACCCGATTTTTTAGAAACAAAGATGTAGTTCACGATCCTTCAGACAACCGAAGTAGATTTTCATCCCCTATTTGGTATGGTTCTGAATTATTCGATAACAATGAAATAGAACAAGTGGTGTGTGGATGGAGTCATGTTCTCGTTAGAACTAGTAAGTCCCTTGGTATAATAACCATCAGTAAGTGTAATCCTTTACATTTTTTCAAGATTTATCTAATCAGACAATATTTTGCTATTCATTTAAACACATGAGTACTGGTACAAAGGGACACCTAAATATTTATGTGCCACAAAATTTATTGGATTTGGGAGTGTGCTGGGATACTACCCAAGCCAATACAAAAGACAGTACTATAAGCACATCAAACTTGCAAGAAAAATCAACCACCTAAAACTTACACATTGCATATATAACAGAAACTAAAAAAAATTTTTTGGCGTACACATTAGGTTAGTAAGAATACTCAGTTTCTCCCGTATATACGTCAAAAACTTCTGCAAAATAGTTATCATAATAATGTTTGGCTTATTTAATATTGTAAGCAGAAAATAATGTGAAAACAAAAGGCGAATGCATCTCAGCCATTATGATCTATGCCAAACCATTTAGCGTCTCTAACTATTAACGAAAGTTATTGCATGAACTCCAACCAAATAGCCTTCACCTATTAACTATGTTTATTTCAACAGTCTGTGACTTCATGAACTAATCTCGCTTTTTGACCGGGCCCCCACCAATGATACTACATTTGTATGTGAAAATAAAAAGTGACGAAACAAGCGAAGACTAGAATTTGAATCGACTAGCATAAATTCAGACTACGTGTGATTGGAAATTTATGTCCTCACGTTGTCAGTTGGTTTTTTTACAGTTATCATTTTACACTATACGTATTTTTCTTCGAAATTTCCGTAGACTTTTGCCTTCTGTTATGTTCGATAAAGCGGAAGTAGTCAGTCGCCTGTAAGAATCATATGTTCTCCAAGGATCTGTGCAATAGTACATGAATTCCTCACGAGAGTTTAGGGAGAAATTAGTATCCAAATTGTCGTCACTTCTGAGTCTGCAACTAGTATTTTAACTTTTGAAACAATTATTTGTAAGGCCATTCATTTCTTCAGGTTGCTCAAAACCTATTTTTCATATGCAATCTACTTGTTGTAACCGCTTAAATCATAAGGTAGCTTAATAGGTAAATAGTGTTTTTTAGGACCAACAACTGTTCAAACAATTTTAACTACCAAGTGTTAATGGCAATGGTGTCGCCATAAGAATAACTGAAAAATAATAATAGTAATGATTGTTTCATACAATATTTTGTCTTGAATACAACAGGATTTGTTAGCATTAAGTATTTCAACGAGCGCGTTATACGGTTCCTATGTACTGCAATATATATATATATATATATATATATATATATATATATATATAACATTTTTATTTAATTGGTAAAAAACATTTAAAAAGACAAAATGTTATTATGACAGAGATTGTTTTAGTTGTGACTAAAAATTGACGCATTATCTGTGAATTACTTTCACAGGCGCTGTACTTTTCATACTTGTCAGGTCTATTAATTGGTTTTCTACCAATCTTATCATTAAATTTTTAGCATAATTCTGGGTTTATTGACGATCTTTTTAGCATTAAGACCATTTGTTTCTGTAACAATTCTAACATTTAATTATTTTTGTATGCATTTCTGTTCAGGTGTTGGGGAAGTTTATTCATGGGGTCGATCAGACTTTGGACAGCTTGGACGAGCTGTTAATGAATTGAGCGAGTTAAGCGAAAAGTCCGATGAGAAGTTTTCGAATTTCGATACACACCCTGGAAAAGTACATTTTCACACAAATACTGATCATGAAGTGGCTATCAAAACTATTGCTTGTGGTTCAGAGCACTCATTAGCTATCGATTCAAATGGACAGTTATGGGTTTGGGGATGGAATGAGCATGGCATGTGCGGTGTTTTAACAAAAATCGCAAGTCAAATGGAAAAGAATGAGAGTCAAGAACAATTCATTCCTTTTATCACACGACCATACCAAGTAAAGTTTCAGTGTGTTAATCGCAGTTATGAAGTGAAACATATTGGTTGTGGATACGGTCATTCAATGGCGTATGTAGAATTTAGTTAGCAAACGTTGTAAATATTATATTGTATTTTTGTTTGTAATAAAATGTGACGAGTTTCTTCTTACTCTCATTTACAATGAGTACATTAAGTATACATTAAGTATCAAGTATACAGTACATTAAGTATATGCTAACAGTTTGACATTCTACACATTATTGTCACCCGTATCCAGTTGATCATTCAGATTACCTGGAAAGTTAACCGAGTACTTATATTATCCAGACTTAAAATCTAACGTGATTATATCCATAAGATGTAAGATCATGACACCATAATAATAAGTCTCAATATTTGCATAATTAGGACACAAGACAGAAATAATTGAACGTTTATGATGATTTAGTTACCAATATGTCTTTTTGATGGTCGCCCTTATCAGTGTGAATCAGAAAGTCAGAAAATAACATTAATTGTATAGAAAAATATCATTTATATCTCGGTATCTTCAGCCAATCACTTTTCACATGTTTGAAACTTCAGGCAAAAGTCTGCACATCTATACGGTTGAAATCAATACTTAGGTATATAGTTATTTCCAAACTAGTCTCATACAGAAATGCAGCGACCAAGTCACACGCCATAGCTGAATAATAACGGAATTAAAAACCTATGAACATCTTAAAATAAAGGACTAAGACCAGTTTCGAAATCGGAGTTACAACAGGTATCATTTGAAATTTGAGGAGTAGAAGGTGGATTTCCCTGTGACAGTTGCGACTGACTTTAGTTCGTGCACCTTAGAATCTCGACATGGTGACTCCTGTCATCCGTAGGCTAGTGATATCATATACATAAATAATGTTTTATCTGGTCATTCTTCTCAAACTAGTTGTAAAGCAATTAGAAATATTGAGGTAAACAGCGACATAGTTTGTGTTATTATGATAAAGGGTTTAGATTATTACTTTTTTGATATTGTTAACTGATACTGTAATAACAGCACGATGAGTGCACTATCAATTGATGTTGATGGTTGTACCGTCTTTTGCTTAAAGCAGGAAACCAACCAATGTTGTTGATGCGTTTCTCTCCGTAGATGTCAAATTTTAATCACGTCCTCGTTTGGGAGACATCAAAGTAAACTAATCACACTACTTCTCATGTATTCTGCGGTGTCATAGGACATTGTTGGTGTACAAACTAACAGTCTTGTTGAGTTTGTTTTTGTGGAATTAGTCCGATAGTCGGGTGCGTAAATACAAATGTAAGTAAATGCTGTAGCGAGACTCATGGAAAATTCTAGAATCCGTTTAAGTATTTGTGGAACCGATGTCGCATATAAACAGACTGAAAAAGAAGTGGACAGGGTATGTGTGTAGTACGAAAGTTGAATCACTGGTTGTTACGCAAGACAACAGTAAATACCGACCGGTTAGCAACCATTATTATGTAAATCCACATGCCTTCACTTGAACAACTCAAAATTTATTCACTATTTTTATGATTGATTACCTGACACACTAAGTACTTTTTCTTTCACTTTATTCTTCCTCTTTCCACGCAAATTTTATTACTAATCTTCCAGAGCTTTTAATTAAAGGAGCGAGATCCTTTATCCCACTTACAGAAATCAATCAATTTTTCTTGTTCATTTTATCTTCGCATATATGTAACCTCTATAAATTGACATTTGATGGTCCTTTTGTGCTTTTAATTAAGACTTTCATAAAGTCATTATCAAATAATAGTGCTTGAAATCATGTATAAAACCATGAAATCCTACTACATTAAATTTTTCTGTCTAATACGTATAGTACCATCCATTCTTCTCTTTCTTAAACGTGCATATTAAATAATTTACATTTTGCTTTTCTCCCTTGCTTCCTTTTTTGTCTTTAATGTAAATTTAATATTCTTTTACGTATAGCGGGACGGTATGTAGCGGTAAATGAATCCCTCAAATAAATAGTTCTCTTTTGTTTGACACACTGGTGCTGACTTCATTAGCTGGTAGTGGTGATCGAGTTGAAATTGACTATAATCACAACTACATATAAATTATGAGCCCGTCACCGAGAAGAGTCATTCCATAATAAAGAATATATTTGCTGGCACTTTCATTGTATCAAAAGAATACCAAAATCGTGCCAGAAAATAACATTAAATATCAGCATTTTAAACAGAAAGTTTGTGCGTAAAGTAGTAACAGGCAAAGTACAGTTAGATAATCATTGGCGCAATTGGTTATAATAATGAATGTTTCTATCAAAACAGTCGCGTTATCTTCATAAAAGTGGATTTACTACAAGTTTAATTACTCATATCCTAGATGAAGGAGCACAGTCAGGTGTCTGCCCTACATCATCATGACGGACTGCATGTTAGCAACCTTTTACTCCAAGTAGCAGGTTTAGATCAATGCTATTCGACATACCGATCATATACTAAGTTTACCGAATGTTTCACTTATTAATGACTCCCGGTTTCACTAGGTTTATGATAATAGATTAGAAAAGTGTTGTCGACGGCAGTATTACCATACCCTAAATATTTGTGACATCTTTAGTGGTTTGATTTTATCTGCAGGTTCACGTGACTTCTGTATAGCATAATACTTGATAATAAAACATTAAAGTCCTGTTGCAGTGCATCCAGCATCAGATATTAGTATACTGAGTATCTCGAGGATACAGACTGTTGACAAAACCCAATAAACATGTAGCAATTCGTATGATATACTTCTTCGCGGTATAACAAATGTTAATCCCGAAACTCTAAGAATCAAATAAAAAGGTGATTCTACGGGAAGAAGTATATTTGATACTAGCCTCGTGATATCGAAATAATATCGAGGCAAGAGCACGTACAAATGGCTAACGTCCACGCAGGAGACGTGCGAAGAGGAGGATGGAAATAATGTGCTTGGTGCGCGAGAGATAGTCTTTTGTACAGACAAACAAGAGGTGTACAATATAACAATTATTGTGAGAATTAAGTACAATAATGTGATGATTAGAAGTATATGAATCAAGAATTAAAGGTATGCACAAACGAATGTATTGTATTTAGAATTCGAAATCAAGCATTTTACAACAACAAGAAGTTACTAGTTCATTCAAACACCACATCCGCCACAGCTTAAATTGGAATGTATATGTCTGTAATCAATCGTACGTCTTCTCCTCAAATTCATCCTGTGTCTGTCCGACAGTGTATTGGATAAAGGCTCTGTATTATCTAGAATGCTCTCATTAGTATTAGAATTAACAACCGAAATTGGAACAGACTCACCTGGCTCTTGGAATTGTATTTGATCAACATGTCGATTATGTGTACTTAAGTCATTGATATCTAGAAGTCGCACCATAGATTTCCCGACATTCTTCTGAACGATCCCCGTGGATGGTCGAAGATCATTGCCACGATAATATGTAACTTCTGCAGACTCCAAACATCTCATATTCGACCGAAGAATTCTTCCTTTTAATAGTTTTGATGGAGTCTCTTTCGTCACCGAATGTCTGGCATTTCTATATTGCAGTAGAAAGGTATCTACTCCCCTCTCCAGCTCATTAAATGTTGAGGCGACAATAGAATCACTCAACCTCGAATGCTGATTTTTCAGCTTATGACACTTTTCGCAATTCTTTGCTGTACGACAAATATCTGCATTTAATGACTGTCGAGAAATGTAGTCAACATGTTGAATTTGCTTGGCACTCCCGTGCTGAACCATTTTCATACTTCCACTGCACTTAGCACACGTGGCTATCAAATCTTTAAGTAAAGCATCAGAATTTTCTTTAGAAACTAGGAGAGACAACTCCACTTTAAGCCTTTTCAAATTCTTTAAACCCAGTATTGACAGTCCCGTTTCGCTAACTAAGAATTCACATGGTATGTATGAGGAATCATCATCTCTTATTAGCAATTCACAACATCCTCGTATAGGCAGTTTGTGTCCAGTAATCCCCAATATTGATACTTCAGTGGGTCGTATCACAACGTTCGGATCTAACGATTTCAGGTTCTTGAATGAAATAATGGACTCTATACTGCCTGTGTCCACAATAAAGTCATGAAATGAACCAAGTGATGTATATAGTCGCTTTTGAATATGAGCATTACCTTTCGAAATGGTAGTTAAAGATAAATGATCATTAGGATCAGCTGAATTATTGGAATCTAAATTACAAGCTTTAGTACTACTTGAGGCAAAATGAACAGTAGCTTTGCATACTGCTTGAATGTGTCCTATCTTACCACATCTAAAACATTTAGAATTACGAAATGTACAATAATAACGAGAATGAAGTTTTCCACATGATAAACATTTGCCAAACTTAGTCTCACCTTTTTGATTTCCTTTGTAATTCTTTTTTGAGACACCGTTCATATTTACACGTGAATAGGAGCCACTGTTAAACGAACACAATTTTGATTGACCCTGAGATTGTTTTTCATCATGACAACTAATCAAAGTATTGGAAATCTTCATCGACTGAATATCAAGTTCATTCAACGCCTCGTAGTTAATGCACGCAGTTCTAACATCTTGAAAGGAACAGTTTGACATTCTTAACAGCTCTCTTTCCAAACTAGGTATGTTAATTCCTGCAATTAATCGGTCTCTCAGCTGCACATGAAGTTGATCACCAAAATTACATTTGACAACCTGTTTCTGCAATTCAAGAATGAATTCCTTAACATTTTGGTCGTTTTGACGAATCATCTCATGAAATTTCGCTCTTTCACGGCATTCAAAACCAGGGCACTTTACATGATTCAATAATAACTCCTTTAGCATTGCATAGGGAAGTGAAATAGGTTTCTCTGGATATGCCAAGGTTTTCAATAAGCTGTACCCTTCTTTTCCGATGAATGTTAGGAAATGAGCCACAATTTTATCATCTTTGACATCTATCCTGGTCATACTCCAGATTTCAAACCTTTCCAAATAATCTTCAAAAGCATCAGAAGTAGAATGAATATCTAGCTGTTCCATTACAAATCCTGCTCGCGACGCCACTGTGATGATTAGAAGTATATGAATCAAGAATTAAAGGTATGCACAAACGAATGTATTGTATTTAGAATTCGAAATCAAGCATTTTACAACAACAAGAAGTTACTAGTTCATTCAAACACCACAAATAATAAATATTTATATTTCAGCAATTGTGTTCTCTTCGTAAAAGTATACCACTACAAGCACATCAGGGAAAATAATCAAATCAGTCGATGAACAATATCTTAACAAAAAGAGATGGGTCAACTTTACTCGCTCAGACAATGAGCAATCGTCAGTAACGGGCCGGTATAGTGACCTCCATAAAACACTCTGCAAGATCAAGGAGTTAATTCTTATCCAGAATTGGTGTTCAATTTTGTTACAATACTTCAAATCAAATCCAAATAGTATAAGATCCTTTTCGAAGGTTTTGTGTGTGAAATCCCACCAAGTATATACATTTTGTTGTGGTTTTTTACTTTACTTATAAATGAAAGTTTGTCCTTCTTAATCCTGCCAGCAGTAAATTTCGCTGTTGTTTGGACTCTAAGTTAGAAATTTATAATCTGGTATTATTAAAGTTTTATTATCCTTAATTGTATACTGTTTCACTATTAATATTATGAACAACAACTTACAACTTACTCGACCGTTTGGTTATGGTGACTGTCGAATTGGTTCATCAACCCTTTTGACTGCAGTGTTTGCACTTACTGAATTTGTGCCTTCTTCTTTGGAGCCCCACTGAGGCTATTGCTGGCCCCAATCTAGGATAAAGTAGGTGGGTTAGGCATGGGGTTGGCGATCCATCCCACAAAAAACTCTACCCTCGGAGTTAGAAGGTCTTCATTTAGTTGAGTTATGACGTCTCATCATGAAAGCCGAGTGCCTTCGGAAGTCATGAGGCCGATGTCACTTCTAACAATCATAGCAACCATTCTTTTAGGTTCATGGAACGTTCGTACATTGTAGGAGACTGGAAGACTATTTCAAGTTGCGGCAGAAATGAAAAGGTACAACAACAAAAGATACAAAACAAAGAAAGAGGACATGACAATGAACGTCATCCAATGTTATGCACCTACCAATGAATACAATGACGACGTCAAAGATCAATTCTACGAAAGGCTGCAGTCAATCGTCGAGAAATGCTCACCAAATGATTTGACCATTCTTATGGGAGACCTGAATGCAAAGGTTGGAATGGGCAACACTGGGTATGAAGACACAATGGGACGACATGGACTTGGAGAATGGAACGAAAATGGTGAGAGATTTGCAAACCTATGTGCCTTCAACAAACTGGTCATCTGTGGCACAATATTCCCGCACAAACGCATTCACAAAGCCACATGGATTTCACCGGATCACACTACTCAAAACCAAATTGACCATATCTGTATCTACAAAAAGTTCAGAAGGACCATGGAGGATGTGAGAACCAAGAGAGGAGCTGACATAGCTTCAGATCACCGTTTGCTGGTCACCAAAATGAAACCGAAGTTAAAGAAGCACTGGATAACGGGGCAGATAACATCACAGAAGTTTAATACAGTCTTTCTTCGGGATACTGTAAAGCTCAACGAATTCAGGATAGCCCTCACCAATAGGTTCCGGGCTTCGCACGATCTACTCAGTGAATAGGAAACAACTATGTTGGGCCACCAAAAATTGAAAATATCAGTATGTTCATCAGACAAATCGAGAGCGGTAAAGCAGTGGGAAGAGCATGGACACTGAAGGCAGACTTGGCGGAAAATCAAGAAATATTTCACATTCTCTTCAACATGATTTGGGATGAAAAACAAGTAACAGCAGATTGGGAAGAAAGTTACCTCACCGAAATTCCAAAGAAAGGCGATCTCAGCAATCGTGAGAACTACAGAGGCATCACTCTTCTCTCACAACTAAGCAAAATCTTCAACACAGTGTTGTTAAACAGAATGAAGAACTTCGTAGGTTCCCAACTTCGAGATAAACAGGCTGGATTCCGGAAGAATCAATCGAGTACCGACCAAATCGCAACATTAGGGATCATTGTGGAACAATCAATTTGTTGGAATTCATCGCTCTACATCAACTTCATTGACGACGACAATGTATTTGATAGTGTGATTAGGAGAACACCATGCAGGCATTTTGGACATTACGGTGTGCCGGAGAAAATAGTTAACATCATACCGAATTCTTATGATGGACTTAACTGCAAAGTCGTGAATGGAGGACAGCTGACAGACTCATTGGAGATAAAGACCGGCGTCAGAAAAGGTTTCCTGCTATCAGCCTTGCTCCTCCTGGCGATGGACTGTTTTGTAAAGACGTCAACATCTGGAGGGAAGCATGGTATCAACCAGAATATATAATTTTTTACTAACAGTTGTCTAAACGAAATACTTCAGAAGCGTTTGCCAGACGCAATCGGTAACAACCTATTTTGGGCGAGAGCAAACCGAATTCTAGTGCGGGAAGAGATCAGGATAATCACTTGATGTGGATAGGAAACTCATTGTAGAAAGGACCGAACTGCGTCACAAGACAAAACCCTTACTTGGAACTCTCAATGTCATACGAAAAGAGGAAGGCCAAGGAAAACATTTTACCAGTAAATAGAAACAGACATGAGATGAATGAACGAAAATTGGGCAGAACTGGAAAGGATGGCCTGGGACAAAGTAGGTTTGAGAATGCTCTTTTGGGCGTAACAAGCGTAAAATAGTAAGTTAGTCAGTTGATTGTGAATCGAAGCACACTTCCAGAAATTGGACTGTTTTTAACTACTTCAACAGTTACTTTTCATTGGAATCGAATATTACCTCCGTTAATCGATTGGAATTCGATGAACAGTTTTCTGTTGAATGACTGGTAGTGGCGTTTTTATAGGTGATATTGTACACTCATGTTTGTAACTTCAAGTCCACCTAGAGCCTTTTAAGTGGGACTGCAGGTTTCAAGCCCTGACGAAGGAGGAATGTCGGTCATGTGGTTTTGTATTTTGACTAGTCAAGAGAATGTGTTCATAAACCAACCTCAGCAGCTACTCTTCAGCCCTAACAAATTCAGTTTGGAATCAGGAAACAGGGATGTGCGTATTAGAAAAGGGGTTTAGTTATAGAGGATGTATATGATGAGCTTTTTCCTTATTTGAACAAGGACTTACCAAACTGCACTTTACATAGAGAACAAACAATGGAAATCCACCAATCTATGACAGATTGACATGAGGGCTATTTCTTTGCCTAGAATTCTCACTCTCCCCTACCTCTAGCCTTGTTAAATTTACTGTTCCTACTGGCCAGTATCGTCTTCCTCTTTTTCACTTTCAAACTATTATCTGAAATAAATCTGAAGACCCGTATTGTTTGATTCTGCGGTATTAAGAATACCTTTGTGATACTTTGGGAGGTTCACATCTACGTTGGACGCCGAACCTTATTCTCTTACAAATGAATGGATGATATTTTAAGGACAGATGTTTTCAGTAGTTTTAAGTAATTCGTGTTGTTCATAAATTGTCCCCAACTGAAATCGTTGTCACACTTATTTTCCTGCTGCTAACTAAAAAATACAAACTCTAGGAATTGAGGTCAGTGTGTCAGTGATTCTGTTCTCTTTAAAATCTGTTTGAATATCTTGGAACGATCCTTAGTTACTGGTAGATCAGAGTGACAAATTCTGCAATCTAAGGTTCGAGGATAGTTTTTAGTTCGACATACTAGCACTTTATAAAGCTAAACTGTTTTTTTAAAAACAACTGGTAGAATGGTTTTCATACTACCAAACATTTGATATATCAAAGACGAAACCCATGGTATTACATGAATGAACAATTATGATGATGGCTGAGAGGAATTTTATGGGTATCTGCGGAAGTAGGTGGATATATGTAGGGCAATGAATGTAAACGTTTGTTTGCGAGATCATTCACAGTAATCGAAAGGCTTGATAATGTTCCAAGTATCTGCTTGGTAATATGTAGATGTTCGAGTAGAAGAACACGTCCATGAATCAGTTAGGTTCAGGTCCCAAGCGTTATCCTAAATCTTTTTTCGAAAAGAAGGCGGGATTAATCAGGTGATATACGTGCATTTGAAGGATATTTCGTGGTGTCGAACGATTACAGAAACGCGTCATAGAAGAAAGCGAAGGTGCAGAGCCGTTGGACCAAGATTGCGACTGGAAAGAGGAGAAGTGCATGACCTTAGTATAATGTCAGCATATATACGAAAAGTAGAGGAGTCATAGCGTAACACGAAAGTACGAATAAACAAATTTTTGTAACAGTATCACAGGTACGATTGATTATAATAATGAATGTTGCCATTTAACCAATTGCGTTTATTTTCGTAAAGTTGGAATCACTACAATTATATCAGATGTCATGAAGAATTGATCATTGCGCTATTGGGCTATTAAGTCGAGTGAGGATATAGATCTATGGCATTTGGAATATAATTCCAGCAAACTATTGGGACAGTCAGTGAACAATAATTTTCAAAAAAAGCCTGCAGTCTTTAGAGAATTTATGCCAATCCATCAGCACTTTCTTCTGTATTGTTACGATATCTTTAACAGTAAAAGGTTTGGGAGACGTCAAAAGTTCGAAATGGTGAATAAGTTCTGAAAGTTAAGTTTTTAAATGTTAGTTGTCGCTAACTGTGTTCTCTGACACGCCTCCGTGTCAGATCAGCATTGCGTTTACCTTGCATTGCAAATCTTCATACCAACTAGCAAGCTTAGTTCACCCACCTCTCAACACCTCAATCATCACTCTAATATATTCCAAGTTTTCTCCCTTCCTTACTTTTGTACAGTACTAGAAATGATATTAGATGATAGATAACAATTTCTAGGACTAACACAAGTCACACAGCCTCCAGTACCTTCCAAATTGAATCTTGTTGTGTAATTTATCCTGGATTGTATCCTCGAAAAAAAAGAAAATCCGAAATAACTTGTTGACATTCTTATTCAAGGCTTTAGATTTTTTGCCCTCATAACTTAAGTTTTCGGTACATAGAAAATGACATATTCACATTTGTAGTTGAAGGAGTCCGCATCAGAGGCGTTTAAATATACTCTGGAGTCTTTAAGGGTTGCCATGTGAGCTGTGGCGGGCTTTCGTTTACTGACTGCCGTAGTCTTTTCAAATCATAACTCGGGGTTTGTGAATTTCTTTCTGAATGGCTCATATATGTACCCGAAATTTGTGTTGAAAATCAATTAAACTTCCTATAGGGCGTTTTTTCACGAAATTTTACTTGTATTTGTGGGGAGACTATTCTTCCAGGCCTTAACATGTATCTGACATTACATTCTGATTCACCAGCTTCTTGAATTGCAGATCTGTAGAGAAGTTTGGGTCACGTGGTTGGACTCGGTGTAGTTGCTGCATAGTCATCAGTTTGTTTTCACTGTATCACGGGTTTTGATACTCGTAGTTTTTAAAGTGGTTCAGGCTGTCTACCCACAACTTCATATCCAACTATCAAGTGCGCGTGTTTACTTAGAATTTGTTGACAACTATGACAGCCTATCACCTCTTTAATCTCGTGCATAAAACTTATTTTAAACTCTTACCTAAAGAAAACCATCGACTGGAGCCTCTATTCTTAGTTTTAAGAGTGTTTTGTCCACTGCTAGATAAGTGCTTATCGAGATATCCCATTGGTAGTTGCCCGTTACATGGCTGTCCACTGCATACGTCCTAGCTTGCCCCAAGTTTCCGTCGACATTACTAGTCTAAAAGCAGATGACTTGGGTTAACAGTGCACAAAATATTCAAATTCACCAACATTGCTAACTTCATTGTACGCTGAGTGCCTGAGCCGTTACTCAAACACTAAAATGGAGGACTAAGTTTGCCCATTTGAGTCTTAGCATTTCAAAGTCCTTTTAGTATTGGTCATTTCGTTCTTATTTTATGGGCTTTGATTTTTATGCGACGTACCGTAATTCATGAACTTCAATAGAATCCTTCCGACAAACCTTTTTTTCAACAAACATAATATATAAACACCAGCCACTAATACTCACTACGATACTCGTAACACCAAGACACAGATCATCAATAGAAGTTATTCTAGAACTATCCCTAAAACCTTATACAGTATCATTTTTCTGTCAGACACCGGCAACTTTTTTAGTGATATACAAAATACTGCTAACAGTCTCGTTTTGACGGAGAACGCAGTTAACACATAAACAATTTTCACTTGACTCTTGAACTAATGACAGGAAATAAAGTAGTTGAGCGTGTCGACTGCTTCACTTATCTTGGCAGTGTCTCATCAGTGCTGATAGCCTGGTATCTGACGAAATCTCGGTACGGATACGGACAGCTGTGAAACGTGACCAGGAAGAGTAGAGGATATTGGTGGGTTCCTGATTTCCGACCATAGGTCTCTTCGAAGCATTGCGTGTATATCCTAGGACGATCAAGTAAGCAATGGTGTTGTTAGGAAAGGATTACTTAGTAAGGATGGCAGATCAATTGATGATGTGTGGCAACTTGAACTGATGTATGTACGTACGAAGGTCTACGTTGTAATTGACTGAATTCATCAGTTGGGATTTGTTATGAATGCCCAACCACCGACTGCCACGACGAGCTATGTTTTGTGGTGTAGGAGTAGGTTGGGTGAAAGCTAGGCGCGACCAAATCAAAACATGGCATAAGTCCATAAAGTCACTGACAATGTGGACTGAGTCGTGTTGGTAGGTGTCGACTACCTGGTTGGGGTCCGCGAGACAAAATTCATCGATGGTTATAGACCCTGAATGACATGGCTGAAAATCGTTTGCAATAACGCAGGTGCAGCAACTCTGTGTTCTCTCAAGTCCTCATCTTCTGACTTCTCCATTACCTTTATCCTTCTCTTTTCAAATTTATTTCATGCTTTATTTATACTCCTTGAATGATACCTTCAAACTCTAATCTTCTCCATTACCGCTAATAATTCTACTATCTCTACCACTGTGGGATTTGAATTTAAAATTGCATTTCTGTGCTAATGTGATATGTCAACCTGAACTGATGTATGTGCGTACGAAGTTCTACGTTGTAGCTGACTGACTGACCTGGGTTCTCGGCTGAATGTTTGTATATTGTAAATGCTTTTGTTCAGTGACTAAACTTGCTCGAGCTGTGGAAAATCTGGTAAATCTTTTCTTCTATGACCAATCATCTTTATTCACTATCACGCAATAATGTGTTATGAGAACTAACGCCATCTTTGGATTTCCTGTAAAGCAGTTTTCAAACCTTGATAAATGGCCTAGGGTTAAGTGCCTAGACTGTTATTTCACGCATAACTGGTAAGAAATTCACCTAGTAAAGTGTCGGCATCCATATAAAAAAAATGTAAAAACGTGGTGGAACCTTCCAAATATGTAATACTATAATGTTTATTGTCGAAAAGTAAACTGACTTTTAGTCTATCTCTTCCGTGTAAGTTAATCATCTTACTCAAGCTAATTAATGCCTTAAAGATTGGGTATATATAATTTTAATTTTCTTTTCTTACCGTAGATCATGGCATCTGCTAAGCAGGATAAGGCTACATATAATGTAACTTGTTTATTACGTCAGTGGGATTCTGCGTCTAAGGAGAAACGTCGTCAGTTTCTTGACGATTTCATTAAACAATACCGCAATTTCACTGGACCTGATTTAGAATCAGAATTCGCCCAAATGGCCAGTTTATTTTTGGCTAGAATATGTGTATGGATAAAGTTAACGTAGGTTGTTTTCATGATTTTGGATTGCTTGTCTATATTATATCATCCAGGCATTCGATATTATGTTCATCATATATATATATATATATATATATATATATATATATATATATATATATATATATATATAGCATTTTGATTTAAACATAATGAAACACTGTTCTCCTTTTGTCACTTTTTCTGTTATTTTTTTGGGACTTTAGTAAAGCGAACAATTGCTCAATTTTAAACAGTCATCTTAAGTTCCATGAGTAACTCATCAAGTACAAATTCGTGAACTCAACTTTAATCCATGTTCTAGGTAGACGAACCATAATATTCTACTCGGTGACCCAAACTAAAGTGGTAGGGTGGAATTCAAAACTAAGACTTATTAGATGAACGTTAAGCACACGATAATCACCAGGCCACCGTCAGTTCAATTAGTTTTCCGAGCATTTTAAATACTATTATGAACGTTTGGCTTACTTACAGACAGTAATATCTATGTAAACATTACCTTTCCTATATATATATATATATATATATATATATATATATATATATATATATATATATTTCTTGTACCTGAGGAAAACTTTTCATTGTCACCTAAGTTGGGTAGAATGCATGTAAAGTTTTGTAAACTAAGATTTATAATTTTCAATGTTCTCGCGGGTTTGAATTATTTCTTAATGTAATTGCCTGTCGAAATAAGTAATTTTCAGTTATAAAAACCCAGTTTGTCGCATAGCCGTCATTGTTTTGCTAGCGGAAATAATTGTTCATGAAACTGATCGTTCAACATATAGTTTTGTAAGAATATATTTTAGTTTTCTTTAAACCGTACTTTTAAATAATGCCGTGCAGAAGATTGACGTAATAATTAAATGATTCAACTATCCAGTCGCAGTTCCTGCTCGTGTTCCACATCAGTTTGTACATTCGAGTGGCATCTCCAACCTACCCACACGAAACCTTAAATGGCTCGATGTTATTTATTTAAACACGCGGACATTGGTACAAAGAAGCATCGATGAATAAATTTAACACACACTTAGTTCTTGTGGATTGGTAGTTTTTCAAAGGAATACTTCCTGGGCCTCTGATCTAGAGGTCTAATCTACAAGGCATTGGAACGGCGTTAGAAGTGCGACCTCTTGGTAGTCAGTGACCAACAATAGGTTCATACGCCATTTTATCCTCAGGATCCTAAAGCCCATGTGCACCAGTAGTTTGGAATCAGGGTTTTCCAGCTCCTTTAGATAGATGTTTTGTACCCATCAACCCGATTTAGACGTCAAACATTCGAACTTTGTGCTTAGTTTTGTAAAATAATCTTGCCGTGTGAAAGCATGAACTATTACTTGAATGTAGACCTATATTTAAATCTATACGATATTTTGAGAAATATTTCCTCTTATCTCTTTCAGTTATATGTCAGGAACCTGTCTAACAGAACAGCTTCAAGCTCTCCATGTATTTTTATCAGCATCAGACAGGTAAACTAATGTAAAACTACTTTTCTATTATAAATATTTTGATCTGGTTTGAATTTTTCTATCTTTAAAATGGATCCAATTTAAAAAAGTTGTAGCTGTATTGAGTCACGTTTAAGAAACTGGGGAATCAAAAAAGTAGGGCTTGTATACTCTGACCAGTATCAGTTTTTATCATCCTCGCAACCGTTTGCTAACTTATCAAATCATCGGTCCACACACATACCATTTATTGAAGTGATTTTTTACTCACGATATAGTGTCATACTTTTATAAATAAAAAAAATAAAAATTATTTCTAATAGTTTAGGAAGGATTTGTTCTTTGTTATTAGGTTTTTTTTTGAAATACTCGGCATCTGGTTACAGCCTATTAATTTAAGTTCTGAAATTCCCACTTCAAGGTTTTAAGCACTCGGAGAAAAATTATAATCGAATACGCATTATGGATGTTATCACATAATTTGATCTCTTATTTATTCCAGCCAGTAATTTTACAACTAACTATCAAATGAAGTTTATCCTTACGTTGATGTGTAGGCTCACACAAATTTAAACAATTTCCTTATTGATTATTTGGTTAGCTTAATCTAAAAAGGGTATTGTTTTGTATCCAAGAGTTAATTAAACTTCAACTGAATATGTAGTACAATGTGGACAAATGAAGTTCCGTCTTTCTAATACTTATTGGTTAGGCACCATATTTTGACAGCTTAATATTGGTTTGTGTATCAGATTTTAAGTCATATCTTTGCCGTGTTGTTCAGTGTTACTAAATGTTTTTGGTTGTCAAAATAAACTGGGTAATACAGTTCAGTTCATAACCAAAAGGGTCGGTATACTTGGCTTTCATCAACGTTTGGTCACAGATCTGTCACAAATATAATAAGATTTTTTTTTCAAATCGTCTCAGCCACCGAATTTCTCACGTTTCGTTGTGGTTTAAGCGTGTAATTCTAGTTACATCAGTGTATTGAGATCAGTGATTTCATATTGAGCCGTTTCTCTCTCAACATATGTTCAGTCCATTAACTTTTTACCAGACTTTATTTCCTCACATAGTAAAGTTTATAGTTGAAAATGTAGATTGCATATAGTTTTTATCGCTTATGTGTGTACATAGTTTTCATTTCGTTATACTTTTTGTGTACATAATGCGTAGTTTATCAGAACTCGACAAATTTCAATAGTGACATGTATTTGTACTCCCGCTATAAGAGGTATACTTATCTATCAAGTTCACTGTATGATACGTTGATGAATTAGGTGTTAGTGGTGGGCTATATGCAATTAAGAGAATGAGTACAGATCAATCTTACCTTTTCACCTAATGCATTAGCCTAATGCTTTTCCTGATGTATTGTCTGACGAGCTATGTTTTGCAGTGTAGGAGTAGGTTGGAAGAAAGCTATGGGCGGCCAAACCAAAACATGGCAGGAATGCTGACGTGGTATGGCAACCTGAACTGATGTACTTACGTACGGAGTTCTGCGTTGTATCTGTCTGTCTGTCTGATGTGTTGTCTGAACTTGATCAACCCTATATGTCTTTCAATCTCATTCTTTGCTAACCAACGTCGATCATAGGAGTAGGTATTGATTTGAAATGTTAAGTGCATTCTTCAGCCATATCATTTAGTGCAAGTTCACATCATCATTGACTGGCCTACCTTCCTTTTTCAAAACTGTACACTCTATGTTAATATTAATCACTGATTATTAAAACATAATTTGTAGATTATCAGCTACAATGCGTTGTTATTGGTGTTAGCTTAGAAATCACTTCTAGCCTGACAGTGACAAGTAGAGTTATTTGACAACTCTAAAATGTTAACCAAATATTATAAATAGATAAATAGTCGGTCAGTTAGTTTGCACTCACAAAAAATATATCCAGTTTGGAATGGCTTTAGCTTTAGAGGTTTATGAAAATCTATGCATAGTAGTGCTAAACTTTTGGACCAATGCTCACCAGATCATCTTTATTAGTGTTTAGTAAGTAATCTGGATTTAATCCCATACTTACTTACTTACGCCTATTGCCCGTAATGCCGCAAAGGCCGCTGACCAGGGAATTCTTTTTTGTGGTTAATGTTTTTCAGCGAGTTGGAGTTCCATGGGATGGGGTCGCTAACCCCATGCCAATTCCTCCTTTATCGGGGCTTGGGAACTGCAGTAACTCCAGAATGGCTCCAAGCGGAGTTAATTTAATACCTATCTACAGTTAATATCGTATCTCATAGTCTTTTGGTTCAAAACATTGATTTTCGTTAATATTTACATTTCTAAATCTGTTGGAATGGACGTTGTTAATAGTTCTAATAGGAGACTGATGTTAACTGAATAATTCTTATGAAATGAAAACAGGTGTTTTATTGACGCTATCATAGTTTGTAATAGTGCAGTAATGCATATTTTGATAAACGAAGTATATTCCATGTTCCATACACTTTTCATCAATATCTCTTTCCTTACAATATATGGAAGTTTTTGGTTACATATCCTATCAGAAACTAACACTATGAGTTAGTCTATTGATTCAATTAATAATGTTTTAAATGTATATTTATTTACAAATCACATAAATCTCCTTCTCCTTTCAATAGAGACAATCAATTTATATTTTATACTTTGTTCTTGGTATTTTCCCTACGTTACCTATCAACCCAACAATCATCGTCGTTAAAAGTTATACTTATTTACTAGAGTTTTTGGAGTATGGTGGTGTATTATGTCTGCAAGAAGTGTGCATTTCATCAAGTGCAAAAGAAGTGGACAAACGTTGGGCGCTTAAAGTATTATCTTGTGTCGCCAATGCTGGTACACAGTATAAAGAGACAATATGTGAATGTTATGGTAAATAATTTGCTTTTTTTCCTTTGCCTATTTGTCATTATAAACAATGATTTGCCTCTTGTTGTTTTACTTAATTTTCTGTCACATTTTGTCGTTTTCTCTCTCCTCCTCTTAAGTTTCTCATTTATCCTCTTTTTCGTTATATTTACATCAGATTATTTGTTTTGGTTATGAGATTTTCGTTTGTATACATCTTAACCCTTTTTAGTTAAGTAGGTTTATGTGGTGTATATCATTTGTCTAATTTCCCCCCCCCCCAAACTGTCTTTCCTCCTACTTCTGTTGTCATTACCACCACTACTATGACTACTAGCATTATTTAGCTATAATTTTTCCCCTCTCTTCTTCTTCTTCTACTTCTTAGTTGTGTTTCTTTTATTTAGTGTTTAATCAAATTTATTATTGATAACAAAATTGGAAAAGAAGTTTTTTTCTTTCTATATTCTCGAAATGAAAACAACGGCTTCCATAGTTCATATGTATGTATATATTTTTTTGTATGGAAAAGTAATTACTTGGTTGTTTGATGATGAATGTTAATTGGATTTGAGTAATAGTAGTTCATCATGAAGAAAAAAAGGAAGCATGAGAATAAAATCAAAACAGCACAACACATGATCACTTATGATAAATAATTTCTCATCAGTTAATTTATGTTAGAAATATTTGATTCATAATACTAGTTAAGGAATAAATAATAATGTGCTTTCCTAGGTAAATTTAATTACTATTGAAGAATGTTGGTTAAGTGAACTGTATGTGTAGTATATGATTTTTTTTTATTATAATTATTCAAAGATGCATATTTAACTATTTTGGCTAAAATTATTTCTAGGCATTCGTGCTGTTGCTGAATGTATGGCCAAATCGAAATCAGAAGAGACACAAGAATGTGCTAGAGATTTGTTAGAAATATTGGCTGAAGGCAATCCTCGTTTCTCGGATCAAGTTTACAAAGGATTAATTGGCGTTTTACCATGTAATTCACCAAAAGCTCAACAATTAGCACTTCAAAGTATTCGAATTTTACAGGTATCTTATAACATTTCAAATGAATTTTACAAATTTACTTTACTTTCAGCTATTTTGAAAGATGTAGAAAGATGTAACAGCCTCGTCGACTAAACAAAACAGTTTTGAGCCATGTCATTCAGGGTCTATAACCATCGATTACTATCATCTCGCGGGCCTCAGTCAAGTAGACGACACCTACCAACATGACTCAGTCCACTTGTCAGTGACTTCATGGATTTGTGCCATGTTTTGGTCTGGCCGCCCCTAGCTTTCTTTCAACCTACTCCTACACCCCAAAACAGCTCGACGGGCAGTTGGATGTTAGGCATACGCAACACATGTCCTAACCACCTCTACTGATGATGTTTCATTACTTCATCTATTGACTTGCCATCCTTACCGAGCACCCGTTTCCTAACAACAGCATCGCTTATTCAGTTGTCCCATGATATTTGAATAATTTACATCAGTTTTAAGAATTTGATGCGTGATAAGATAATATTAGAGTGGATGAAATAGCGGTTAGCTAAGTGAAAATTGAATAACATATTACAAACAGCAATAATAATGATGATAATACTAACTAGAGATCTGATCGAAGAATATATATATATATATATATATATATATATAATATTCAGTACAATGACTGTAAAGTAAGATTGAATTTCGATTGGCTGCTAACCTCAACAATAAATTTCAGTTTACCATCACAGTGATAATGCTGGTAACTATTGGTTCAACATAGTGTAATGGAGTCACTCTTTTTGTTTGTTAATTATTTTGGAAAATGAAACAATATCGACATAACGTTTGTCATCGATTAAATGTCGACTGATTCAGTTTTTTAGGATTGTGGTATCTCTAAGTTTTAGGTTTTTCGAAGCGTACATGCATTGTTCTCTCTGTTCTTCTAAATTGGCGAAACTTGTGCAAACTACTGAAATTTCCTTTTATTATTGCATACTCTATCATTTTATCGATTTTTAACTTGCAGATAATAAATAGCCTACGGTGAATTTCGCTCATAAAATGTTATGCAATCTCGAAACACAGCTTTTTTGTTTGATAGATAAAAATATTCATTATCGTTTAGAGAAAAAAGATAATGTTCAAGTTGTCATTTTTAAACTGTCATAGTTTTTTTCCAAATCTACACCAGTAAAGAAAAATCAATAGAATGCAAAATGATGTAAATAGTAGTGTCATTATTTAGTAGTGATAACCTAAAATATAAAAAAAAAATAAAAAGCAGGATCAAGAAAAAAATTGGACAAAAAAGCAGTATGAAATAGTATTTCATATTTCAAATTTTTTAAAGATAAAGAATAAATAATGCATTCGCGTCAATGCAATCGGTTTATAGTCATAGCAAGTGAAGTTATGAATTAACCGGAGTGATTGTAACTCTCTTATTGATTTCCAACCATAACGTTTGGCATCTCTCTATCTATATTGCACACTGTGTTAATCGATGACTTCGCATATTGATTGATATACTACACTATACTCTATTGTTGCTGTCTAATTACCGTTTATAATTACTTATTCCAACTGTTTTTCTAACTGGATTGTATAATGAACCAAGATATTGTTCTTTGAATTTGTATAGCATAGATTTCAGTTCTTTCAGCTTTTGCTGATAGTCATTCATGTAGTTTTGTCAATACTAGTATAAATACGAAAAAAATAAATTGACCCTACAAAAAAGTTATTGTAATTTCTTCTAAACATACATGCATCCACCGTATCCTTTTTCCTCGTTAGAATATCCATTTTTTGTTCAACAATTTATAGTCAATAAGCTAGGAAAAAAATGTTAATTATTCTGTCAGCTGATAAAACATCTATGTTTAAACTATTCGTGTTCGGAGACAGAAAGAGGTTCCAAACATTTTTGTCTTGTTGATATAATACTGCATAATTGTTCAGGTAATTTTATTTCAGGTCAACATTTTGCTTTCATTTTGGTGTTACACCTCTATATGGTAATAATCACTCTGATACAATAAAAAAAAATAATAAATGTATGTCCATACGTATTGATGTGGTTGATTTTATTATCTAGTTTTGCCATTATACGCTAATTAGGATATCGAATTCATATATATATATATATATATATATATATATATATATATATATATATATATATATATACATATGTAACGTTTACAAGTTCCTGATTAGTCGAAAATCACATACAGTCGATAACGTTGTTGTATGATTTTGTAAGGTGTATCCATTCCATATTCTGATATATACCTGTATTACACTAATATCATTATTAATGATAATCATGATATTTTGTAACTTAGGGTTTTTGCTGTTGAACAATCACAGTTATTATTATTATTATTATCATCATAGGCAAAACGTAGTACGGCCAATTTTGCTTTGATCGACAGAATAGTCTATTTACTGGAGTCATTACATTTGGAAGTACAATCAGCAGGTAATTTTTTTCTATAATGATCTTCATGTATATAGACTAATTAATTATTCAGGAGATTTTATGTTAGGATTATATGAACAATTTCATATTGTTATCTATATCAAACTGCTCATACCTGTAAACTGGCATTGATTCTGTAATAATAATAATAATAATAATAATTATTATTATTATTATTATTATTATTATTATTATTATTATTATCACTGCTTATTATGACATGTGTGACAAATAAATATAAATTGCATTTACTTTTTTTTTGTTAAATCCTGTATTGTAGTTTTTAAACAGTCAAGTGATAGGTAACTTCAACGAATAGTTTAGAAATAATAAAAAGAAATCATAATTTAACATAACAACTAAATTCATATTGATACATCGGGTTATACGCTATTATTAATGTCGCTGTTGTCGTTTCTGTGCAGATGAGCTTTTCAAATTTCAAAAGGTGAATAACATTTTAAACCAGATACTGCATTCCATTGAATCAAAGTTAACTTCACTTTAACACTAAGTCTCTGTCATAGAATCCAGTCAGTTTAAATAGGTACCATTTGTTAAAACTGTCTCTCTTCTTGAGGTGTGGCTGAATTCTTTCCTCAACACTGAGAATTCAAATTTATCCAACTGGACTAATTGTATAGTTGTCGGCATTATACAACAGCTCAAGTTATATTCTTTCTTGTAGCATACATATTATGTTTTAGAATGAGGTCTATTTATTCTTTCAAATGGTACAATACATATTTTAACATATTTCCGCTCCTTTTTTATAGTTCATATGTCATTTAATTTTTCTGTAAAGTATGTTGCATTCATTATCTTTCAAAGTATTTTTTTTAAAATAAATCTATTCTCAGTAAAATTCTGTTTAATTTCATAATATCCGATGTCTTGATTTGTGTCTTAAACTTTGTCCCTTGCGAGAATGTTTTATCTATCTCAACTGTCTCTTAAGCATACATCTGTGTAAATTAATTAATAAAATTATATATTATAGACTCTTTTTATTGCGTGTACAGATTTATCACTGAGTGTCCATTCTGTTCCAACTTGACATTTGCCTCAAGGTGCATCAATAAATCCATTCATAATCAGTATATTTTCTTCTGGGTGTATTGAATAATAGACATGAAATTACTGTATCTTCACCCTGGTTACAAAGGCTGATATCTTCTACAGATATCGGATATTAGACCGGTGTCCATAACTTGTTCACATAGCTATTCCCGTGAGGGAAACTTGACTCCATTTTTTCTACACTCAAATATTGAGTTACAAACAGCAAAGGGCCTGAGTCAAATATCCGTCGACAAGTACTAATACTATTTAAAAAAGTACAGTACAACAATATTCACGTATACACATTGCAGCTCAAATTATATTACTGGAAATTGTGCATTAAGGCAACAATCGACGGGATAGACCAGGTAGACTAGAAAAGAAGTATAAATTAATTAATCTTGGAATCTTACACTATTACCACTAATCACAGTTGCTAACCTTTGATATTTCTCTAAACGTTATGTAAACTATAGAACGTGATAATTGTTGGTTAAAGAGACATTATAGTGAAATGTATTATCCGTTCAGACTAAAAATCTGTATTCAATTTATTTACTACCTTCTCTACTCTTATTCACTGTAATAGGTCGCATATATGACCTTTTTAATTAATATAGTTCTTCTAATAGCGTTTCTTTAGACAGTAATAACTGTAGGCTGTATTGGATGCTAGCTAGATATGTTGTGTTGGATCATATGAACAAACATTATTTTTTAATTGTTATTTTACTTTTTATTCTGCTTGCTTATTTTATATTTTAGTCATTGAATTAATTCGTGTTTTAATGGAATTCGATATTGCTGATGATATATTATTAGCTTTAATTACTCTGTTAAAACCTCAACATGAAATACAACTGGGCAAATTATTCACAGAAGCAACATCAGATGATAATGATGATGAAGTAATGAGTTCATCTCATGTAGACGGTAATGAGGAAAGTTATTGTAAGTTTCATTGTATGTTTCATTAGTAATTTGTTTGTAATTTGAACATATAAAAGTAGTAATTAGTAAAAGAATAAATGTGGTCGGAAGATTATGTCTAATTTATCTTGTTATAACTGCAATATGGAAAACAAATATTATGTTTCTGAATGATTGTTTTAGGAAGTTTGCTAGGTGCTATTATAATTATTTGTCCACATACGTTTCAGTGTCATAACTCTATCAAATTAAAATTGCTTTCAATATAATAATGACAAGTAACAGAAGCCATTTCACATTGTCAATAATCTTCTATCTTTTCCGATCTCTAACTTATTCATGTACCCACAGTATGGGATTGTTGTTAAACTTCCCTATCGATTTTAAAATGGAATTTCATGAAGTCTGGCATATAAATATGTACGCTGCATTGACTTCTTGCATACCACAGATAAAAATTTTGAAAAATCGATAATAAGTCATTGTTTAATTATTACAGGTAAAATGAAAGAGCAGGAAGGAAATATAGATGTTGAATGAAGTGAATTCAGGGTTTATACAATCATGTAAATAATTAAACGTTTGTATTGATAACCATTATCAAGAACAAATGCTTTTTATTGTTTGAAAAGCTATTGAGTCTCGGTCTATCCTTATTTCATTCCTAACTTCGAGTTTAGTTGTTATATATTATTGCCACCTCGATAATACTTTGACTTATAATTAACAAATATGGTTTGTTTAATATCACTTTGTCGTTTTATCCTTTTTTTCTATCGCCCCCCACATCCTACCTCGTTAGGCAGCCCTAATAATGGCAGCGTACCAGAAAAAAAACAGTCTGTGAGTAACACAAAGTCAGTTAAATTGAATGCCAAACACTCTAGCTCTGATAGCAAAGATAACATCGATAAGACAGCAAAAATAGTGAAAAAGAAACACAAGCACCAACATGATGCATCCGGTTCAGATTCAGATGATGATCAACCATTACCAGTGTTTGTTCAACAAGCAGCTGCAGCTAAATGTCTACAGTAAGCCGAGTTCAAATGATTTTTTGTTTATCTACTTGTTCTTGTATGATTTTACTACTAATATAAAATAGTTTGTTAGTTAAGTGAACGATTCGTTTTGGTGAATTCATTCATATCATATATGATAGACCGTAGACGAGTTCTAATTTTTCAACGAAAACTCTAGAAAAATTCACCATTTTAATTGTTCAAACGAAATAGGATAGTTGGTTTACAATTGTAATACATAGAATCAATAAGAATTATTTCATTTCTAATATTTACATCTTTTACTGAAGCAAACTTGAAACAACTAATACTTCATTATTCCATAAACTGATACTTTGAGATACTTCAATGAAGTTTCAACTGCAATATGTATGTATTCATTGTAAAAGTTATTAAATCCTGACACCTTATTGTTGTCTTTTTAAAAAAAATGAAATTAAGTGATCAATGACAAGTATATTTAGTTTATATTTTTCATTGATTAATTCAACTTATCAATATACAATGTCACACAATATAAATAATATTGGCTGAAACTACAATTACTCGAAACGTGATGTGGTATTTCATCAATAGAAGGAAGACAGTAAAATCGACAAGCATTATAACGAAAAGTAGATGCAGAATGACAAAGTGTTGTTGATATGAAGAAGAACGATCACCAGTAATGAATTTATCTATCTCAATTTCATCAGTTTTTTGAAGTATGAATAACTTCGGTCATTATTAGATAGTAGCTTTATTTATTTATATCAGTACATTGTGGTTTTTTATGAGTAAAACATGTTCCAAACTCAATGATAGGTCTTTAGAACTAGCTGTTTCTTTGAAAAGTTTTTATCTCGGTTGTCTGTCGGCTTAAACGTGCTTGATAAATACCAAACCAGTTTCGATACATTGAAGCTAATTAAAGAAAAGAGAATACTTAAAAGTTCTCATGTTGCTTGTTAATAATGTTCAAAAAAATTTATGCTATCAAGACTTTGAATTCTTTGGTGCCGCTGAGTGAAATATGTTTAGATAGCACATTAAACAATAACACTTGAGAGCAAGTAGAAAAGAGAGTTCAGGACAGAGTCGGCTGTTTTATGCTACACGAAGAATTCATCACTGCTCACGTTTATCACATGAAGAAAAAACTTTAATATGCTTAGCCAAAAAATAACGGACTTTGTACAGTCAAAAACTAATTAATTAATGTATAGGACTCTCATGTATGTATACGCATGATTCATGGCTGTATTTTTTGTTTTTATACTGGTTAAGTGTATAAACTACTTTCTGTAATAATATCATCCATCTAATTATTGTCAATTTTATAAATTCTCCAATACTGTAGTTTTAATCAAACGTATTGTGACTTCACTGATAAATAGCCAGTGTAAAATGAATGATTCAGCATTGTATCTGTCATATGATATATGGTGTGTATATTTAAAAGAAAAAGGTAAACTTTCAATCATTCTTTATGATTTGATTGTTCCATGTAGGCATGATTACTCTTCAAATATGACAGTTTTATCACTTTTCTATTAAGGCTAATTTATCCACTTACTTTTTATGAAGAAATATATATTTATTTTTGTTTGTCAGTAGTAGATAATTGTTCGTTTCTTTCGAATTTTCATATTCCAACTTAATCCTAAAGATGTGTATATGATGATAGGAGGAGGATAAGCTTTGTATTCATGTTTGTCATGATTAGTATTGTTTTATTTTCTTCAGCTTTATCAAATAGCAAAACTCAATTTATCAAGACATAAAACTGAATTACAAATAATAATTAAGTTTACGTATATATATATATATATATATATATATATATATATATATATATATATATATATATATCCGTATTTAATGCACAAATATCAAATCAGTTTCATTAACCTGACAGTTACTAGATTTTTTTTGCTTTAATCACATTTCACTGGTTATCATTTAGTAATAATAATAATTATAATAATAATAATAATAATAATAATAATAATAATAATAGGTATGAATAAATAAAGTTATGCTATCTTGAATTAAATTATACTTTCAATATTATCCTAATATTTATTGATTTTATGTAATTTGTAAAGATTGTATATTAAAACTTTGTTTACAGTTTAATAAGTTTTTGAGAATTGACTAGTACAGCATTAACTTTTTACATCTACTAGTAAATCAATGCAGCAAAATTAAAAGGCTTAAGCAAACATACCGTAACTCTGAATTAAATTCAATATGGTTTATGGTTTCGTAACCAGCATATTTATTATTCAGTGCGTGTTTGCATTTATAATTAATGAATAATTCAGCTTTGGTTTATTGCGCAGTTTGATGGTGTAGTTAAAATAAAAGCCACAATTTTATTTGTAAGTTGACATCATTTGTTGTGTATTAAAAACTACATTGCACTTAAACGATCTTATATTTAATGAGTTCTCAGTCACATGTTGGGGAGAGAACCCTTATGGTTCATATGCATCATTTCAAGTAAATCACGACTTTGTGTGACCAGCGTTCAGTGACATTGGTGTTAATCGTTTTTTTTTTAACTTTGAGTTTTATAAAATTCATCGAAGCTAGCAACTAGTAAGAGCGGTATTATTATTGTTGTTGTTTAAGTTGATTATTTTGTATAAACTTTCCGATTAGAATAATTCTTTTTAAAAACTGATATCATCGTTAGTGGATTGCTCAACTGCAATATCATATAAATTGTTTTTGTTGCTTTCAAATTTATATCTCTAACATATGTATATACCTTTTTTTCATACTAACCTCTTACAAATTTATGCGATCAAAGTATTCTCTCGCAAGATTCTCCAACAGTATCAAGAAAAATAATTAAGGTAAGTAGTGTATAATGTTGTCCTATAGGTCTTACATGTTTTTGTCACTTTAATGCTTTGACTACAGTGGATGGGGTCAATTGTGTCACTTTTATTCACTGTTCTGTATTTGTTCTGTTTTTCCTTCTAAAATGATCGTAAATTATCTCATGTTTGCAATCAACATATCACTAATGCTTAAAAGAAACCAATGATCAAAAACTGGTCACTTGTGCATATTTTAAACTTTCGATAAAGATGTTTCAAAATATCATCTATATTACATAAGACTACTTTACTATGTTTACATCTTTTGATAGTAAGCCGAATAGTTTACTGCTTTATAAGATAGCACAATATTAAAAATATCTCAATTCTCTAGGTTACTAAATCTTTGTTGCGGTTACTTCAGTCATGTATATCTACGAAGACAGCCAAGGCATATGATGTCAGGGACTGAGCTAACTTCTTTACTTTTTTTAACTCCTTCGGATTCCTGTCGAATTTGTATCGTTTTGAAGTTGAATGCATACATATATACCGATATATATATTATGTATGTGAATAAAATTTTTCATTGATGAAATTTATTTATTATTGATTCATTCAAAATTACTGTAAGAAGAGTACAATAGTGTGATAAGAGTAATTTGAAATTGGCATCATTCTTCTGTAAGTGTAAAACAGGAAATAAGATTCATTTTTTTGTTTTGATTTGATTCCGATTTAAATGGAGTCTTGTCACGTTTTGCTTTGAAATGAAATAACATTTAGGATACACTTTTCGCGAAAGTGATTAATTCCTTTTAAAGCTGCTTACTGTTCTCAAACTTGTATATTAGTCTTCACAATTTGAAATTATTATTGTGATGCATTATAATATGTGTTGTGTGCAAATCTGATTAACATGATCAATTTGCACTTTTATCGAATGTATACATATACTGAAATATATATATATATATATATATATATATAAATGAGATTTTAAGTTCTGTTTCGTGATGTTATATATGAAAGTATGTATTAATCATTCGTTTCTTTATTATCATTTCCGAAGTAGAGAGCAATTAAAATCTAATTATTTATCAGCGAACGTGTTTATACAAAAAGTCCTATGCATATCTTCTCTAAGACATTTTTAATCCGATATATATATATATATATATATATATATATATATATATATATATATATATATATAACTTTCGTACACTTCTATTTGTCTTTTCTAAGATCTGTCAACGAAATGATTTGTTGACTGAGATTGTATATTAGCTCATATTTACTCTGGCTATATTTGTTGAAATCAAAAAATTTTCTATGACATTATGCCTAACTGATGGAAGCATGATCCACACAGGAATTTATCATATATTCATTTTCCAATTATCGAATTGGAAATTTTCCCAGTGCAATGAATTTTCCTATTGAATGTTTAACCAGCCTTTTTGTTGTTGTTGTTGTCGTTGTGCAATTCATTGTGGTCTGCTTAATCAAATCAGTTGGCCTAAATTGATGCTTAGCTTTTATGTCTGTATGACGACTGATTTCGGATTGTACTCTGTGTATTCTATGTTATTAATTGAAATCATAGTGTAATGCTACTTTGTATTCCTTCTTCTTTCTTTATACTTACTTATCAGTTTTAAATCATATTAGGATATATATATATATATATATATGTCGGTAAAAAGTATGCATATAGATTATGCCTTTTCCGGAAATATTTATTCACACTGAACTATTCAGTCTAGAAAAAATCAACCAGTTAGTCTATGAATTATCTTTGTGAAAAACATCCTGATACCATCATCATCATCATTGTCATTTTATTTTTCTTCTAACTAGATGGGTGCTATATCAAATCTTTTATATGCTATGGGTAACTTTGAATTTTCCAACAGTCAACGACAAGCTAGTTTAGCCTTAAAGGTAAGACTGAGTAATCATCATCATCATCATCATTCATATTGGTTGTTTAGTGTTGATTTAATTTGTTCTATGCCTAAAACAAATTACAAGTTTTTTTTTTTTTCTGTAATTAATCGTACAATTAATTCTTTAACTGTTTAAGGATAAATACAATTCACTTATTATTGTATGGATAATTCATTTGTTAATAAAATTATTTCTAGGTAAATTAAAAAAAAAATTCAATAATTCTAACAGTTTTTACAGATTGGTTATTTAGTTAGTGATATGATCTATCCCAAATGTTGCATATAGATAGATGAGTTAGAGGATTGGCGACGTGTGAACAGGAATGTGGGTAGTGCACTGTTTTATGATTACTCTAGTGAACTTTGAATTCGTCTTATTATTATTATTATTTTTGTAGCATTTATTATTGTTATTATGAATAACTTACAAGGCTCTCCAAAGTGAGGTATGCTTTTAAAATAATTTATTCGGTTACTTAACAATTCGGAAGGAAAAGGTGAGAGTGAAATTAAATCATCCCTCAAGTCAACAGTTATGATACTGTTTGAAATTAAAAAAAACCCAATTTCTTCAAAGAAAATTAAATTGGAACGTAGCCATTTTGTCTCATCATCTTGTTCTTGTTTGAGACTAGTTGTCGTGTAAATATACATGCAGCAATATCTTTCTAACGCACTTCATTCTGTACATTGTATAATACTTGGATTTAATTTCTTCTTAAAAATTAGAAACGATTAGCAGTGTCTCATTTAACAATTTTTTGTCTATCATTTCACTCTTGTTGTCCCCTTTATTGCTCGCAGATATGATATTTGAACGAATGCAAGAGATATCTTGTCATTTCTTCTTCTATTGTATTTTTTATAATGTTTTGGAGATTGATTCTATTTATTTTATTTGTTGAATAGCAATTTGTAACATTTAAACTATAAAAAACTGAATGAATACCTGTTCTTTGGGATTATTAGTTTCGTCATTTATATAAATATTTGTTACATTCTAATATTCATAAGTTTAGTGTCACTATCTGCATCTTATCAATATGATGCTTTTTTTAAGTAAAAAAGAATTTTCTGATCGAAGTAATATAATTTCACTATGAATAATAATATTAATAAATGCTTTTGTGTTTTTTTCCGTTATTGAAAACTCCAGTATCTTTGTCAGACGTATCCTTTGGTAGATGAAGTTGTTTCTGAAGCAATGGGTCCAGTATTACACGATGAATTCATGGTGAGTAGTGAATATATATATATATATATATATATATATATATATATATATAATATACCATTACTCGTGATGTAGAAATATGCGCGTATTCTTTTGTTCAGTGACCAAATTTCTATGTATTTTGAAGTGTAGGTTTTATTCAAGAACTACACTTCTTGAATAATATCTTCGATCCCTAATATTCTCCATTACCAGTAATTCTTCTACTATCTCCACCGTTATGGGATTTGAACTGACAATAGCGTCTCTGTGCTAATGTGGTATGGCCACCTGAACTGACGTACGCACGTACGAAGTTCTACGTTGTAATTGACTGACTGACTGACAGGTTTGATCATTGGATGGCTCCAGCTATACAGAATAATTCTATCCATGCAACATTTGCTGCAAGGTCAATACCATACTAAGATTCTATGGTTGAATACACTGCTCTGCATTCTGAAACTTTATTCAATCTCTGAAAACAATTATTAGGATTCTGTGATATTCTTTTCGAATGTCTTAACAGTTATTTCCAATAAAGTAACTCTTGTCTATGTATATTTGAATAAGTAGTAAGAAATAATGATTTGTAATTAATTTCTATTGTATATTTGTTTATATTGCTTTTAGTTTTAAAATTGACTCGTGTAGAACAGATGTGTGTAGACACTGTCCTTTAAGTTTAAGATTCAGCATTTGAAAATTCCAATCCGTTATAAGCCTCATCTCGTTTAAAAAATACGTGAATTACACCAGTCGATAAAGCTTATCCTGTCTTGAATTGAATAGCAACAGTTATTCTATAGGATGCTGTTTAACCGAAATGGTCGCCTTAAAATCGTCTTACACAAACTAATGTTAACTGTTGATCTGTTTCAAATTAATTATTATCCACAATTAAAAGCTTGTTTATCCATGACACTGATCTTCTACTTATTCCATTTTTCTCAACTGTTCAATAAGTGATTATCATGGTAAGTCATTTGAATTTAAGTTCCAATCAGATTCTGTAAACGTGAGCACACTATACTTTCGGTAAACTCTCCTTATTATCTACAGGAAGTTGAATACGCATGTGTAGTGAGTATTATTAATGGACCATCTTGTATAGAAGGGTATTTTGAACAAAGAACAGTTCTCAAATGCATTATGTGAAACACCAGTATTTTTATCATCGATTTATGGCATCATGTTGGGTTATATTATTAATTAGCACATTGTTGTGTATAATTAGTTCATAAAAATTTGCTTAAAGCATACACCTTAACCTGTTAGTTAATTTTCATTTGGAACTATGATGTTACCACTGGTTTCTTTTTGTTTTATGCTATTACTTCTAGAAAAATCCTGATTCATATTATCTACAAATGACTCCATTACAAGCAGACATTCTAGTAACGAATAATGTCAGTTATGCAGGCGGTGAGTGATTGACTTGTGTTTTGGCTAATTAATCCTATTGATGATATAATCTTAAAGTGGCATTTGTAATTATTTAGTTTGTGTGTGTTTTAATTGTGGTATTGGTGATATCAATTGGTCTTTTGGTGTCGTTAAAGCACACTTCGCATTCGGTATTGTCTTCGTTCATATACTGTTCATTTACTGTTTTTTTTTTAAAAATCGAAATGTCATTGTAGTGAGAGTTTATTATTTCCTTTGGCTATGTTCAATTGACTTCTTGTAAATAGTAACACTGAGGAATGTTTAGATTTAATCTGTTTGATGTGTTCAAAACATGACGGACGATTTATGCATTCCGGGGTTTCACTGTGTTAGACAATCGCATCATCATAGTTGTGTTAAACTTCATAGAATTTACATTATATATATTTCTTTTTTCTAAAAACGAATATCCAAGTTCATTTGTGACAGATTATTTCGCTACTATTTTATCGCGTGATTTACGTTCGATAGATTTTCAGTTTTTTTTTTTAATAAAGAAAAAAAGCAGAATGATGAAATAAAGATTGGGTTGTGGGATAGTAGCGGTAAGAGAAACAACAACTAAATAAATATCAATGAAATTTTCTGAATCGATGATGGTAATGATGTATCGTGGATAATATTTGCTTTTGTATTGTTTTCGTCCAAAGCACATTGAAGTGATTTTCTTTTCTTGAGTAACAATCCTTTTTCTTTGTGATTGTTTCGTTAGAGAAGTGTTCTCGTTTTCTGTGCATGTTTTTTTTTGTATACGTTTTATGTGATGAAACAGTCAGTGAGCGATTGGAATAATTTTCAAATCTTATGACATATTTGACCTTTTCTGAAGTCTTTTCTGATTATTGAGTTTATTAGTCGACTGGTTACTTGAGAAATGTTTTCATTTCATGTTCAACCCCGACTACTACTACTACTACTACTACTAATACTACTACCACCTTTTTTTATCTAAAGTATTTTCTCTTTACAACTTTACAGTTTAAGAGTATACAGTGTCTGTACATGTTTTCTTAATAGTATGTCATATTTTGAATCACGTTATTCATGTCTCAAGTTGTTGAAGTTCCCTCTTATACAACCAAACCATTGTTATGGCTTAGTATTCTTCGAACACTGTACAGCTCTCACTTAGTTCTGAAAATCAGATCACAGCCTGAACAGGTAGGTAATTATATTCCAACAAATCCAGTTCAATGTCAAGCAATCATAGTAATAAAAACACCCGTATATTTATAATTTTTACTCAAGAATATTTTCGATTCTTCTCCAGCTATCCATTAATACTGATTAGCTGAGAACGCGCCAAGCAGTGTGCTTCAACATAATTGTGGTGGCGTTTTGTTCTCTTCAGCATAAACCTAGTTTGGACAGGCTTAAATCCGACCTATGTCCTGCCAACACAAGTAAACATCTACATACTTATTTGAGATGCACGTTTTTGGGGAGGGGAATTGCTAGTGGATACTGAGTTTCTGTTCAAAATGAAGCAAAGTTTGAATGCTCAACCTACTTGTTGAAATGTTAATGCATAAATCATCAAGTTAACCGCCTTCCATACTTTTACTAATTATGTCAAAATACAACGGAGAAAACATGGAGTCCAATAGTTAGGCATTCATGATTGCATTGAAAATGAAACTAACTATTTTACCTGTATCTTTCAATTGTTTACTCGTTAATCAACTTCTAACCACATTTATTCTTGTGTTCAATATTCTGAATAAAGCAATGTTGTTTTGTTAGATGAGAAATTCCATTCTATTCTATTGTCAGTTCATTCATTTGAGAGCTCACGTTTATAACAATTCGGTCATCTGTGCAACCATCACTCTCAACCGTGTCGTATCATTGAGTCCTATATCTATTGATCGGTTCATTTCATCTATTCACATTTATTGATCACTTAACTGCTTTTCATGACAAATCATGAAACATTTATTCATCACGATAATTTAGGATAAAACTTACTAGATACATTACGATGGTTGACTGTATATTTTATGGTGGTTTCAATAAGACAATTGTTGTACCTTATAGTTGTTATATTTTCACGATTTAGAAGGAACACATATTGTTAGCTCCACATATTGAATTTTCTAAAAAGAATCTTGAACTATTCTAGTCTGACGAAGCACACGTATTAATGAATTTTCGCATGTATTACTAGGTATCAACGTGTAAAGACGGTTGTTTAGATCCGTTTTAACTGTTGGCAATCATTAATATTGAAGTAATTATCATTTCTGATGATATTCCAATAAGTAGTAATTCATATTTAAACTTATGTTAATTTATTACTCTGAAAAAGTGACTCTTACATTCAGTCACGAAACGACAAAAAAGTACAAATTTCTGCTCATTAAAATATCACCAAGAATTAGAATTCTTTGATTATTATTATTATTATTATTAACTTTTTTTAGTTTTTTAAACTATCAAGCCTAACCTAGAATTAATATCCTTTGGTAGTTATGGCAATTTCATCTAATGTGATAACTTTGAAAACACTACACGTTTTCATCCTTTGTTATCTCTGCTGAGTCATAGAAATATGACTAGAGTTTGTATATGAGACGACAGTTCTTCAAACACATATTGAAGCTAGATCACTAATACTCTTCACCTTTTGTTAAGTTCGACTTTTTTTCTAAGCTTTAGAAGTTAAGTCTTTGAAAGAAAACTAATTGTTTCCGACATTTATATATATATATATATATATATATATATATATATATATATATATATATATATATATATAATAGTTCTGTCATAACTAACACACACAGGCGGTAAATAATTAAATGATTTCAGTTCTGTCAATGATGAGACAATTGATTATTCATGAATTACCGCCTGTGTTATTATGACATATAACTATTGACTCAACAAGTCAGTTAAGTGATATATATATATATGCATGAACATTTTCATGTTGATTTCATAAAACTTGTTTTATACGAATTTGATTGTTTTCTGAATTTTTTCTTGAATTATTGATTGTGATTTCATTCAGTAAATGAATTCAACCCCTTTTCATTACTTTACTTCTTATACTGTACACGTATGTGGTTTACATGTAGACCATAGATGCTACCTCGACGTGCTGGTCGTGCTTGTCTATCGTGATGACCCAACCGAGCTATATTGGCTGGAACATTTGTTCCTGAAGGTTCTACCATGCCAGGCAGGTCGATTGGAGAGCGATCAGACTAGAAGCAGCTACTCAAGGTCTGAGGACGAAGTCGTACTGCTGACTGCAGAGGGGTGTGACATCAGTAAGGTGATTACCTCGGACAACCAGCATCTGCAGCGATGCTGCCTTCTCACAAGGAAGGAAGGGGTCAGAAAAGGCCGACGCTAAATATGTTACACCTCACCCTACCTCACGGATTTCCGTCTCCGGCGATAAGGTTTTTGAAAAAAACGTAGCTAACACTTTAAAAACTTCTCATAAAAAGGCCGTGCGTGACCGGCTTGTAGCAGTTGTCCCTGAGCTCTGAGGTCACGCTCTCAGGTCTCTAAGACCAACACTAATCTTCCTTCCTTTTCAGGTTCCTCAATAAACACCCTTACAGGGTGTCGGCAGCCGAGAAGTGACATCAGCGAGACCGAATCGGTCACAAACAAATCCTTCCGACACCCTTTAACATTACTTTATTTCTTATACTGTACACGTATGTGGTTTATGTGTAGAAAGCAATACTTTCGCATCACAGGTTTCAAAGTTATTTTGTATACATTAAGAAGTTTTATAAATGAATTTGTCCATTATAAGTTCACTTTGTATACAGTTTTTGGTTTTAAGTGTTCATTATTTGAATTTTCCAGTGTAACATCTCATTCTCTATCTCCATCTATTTTTGATTAATATTTAAACTTTCGTTTCTTTTGATCTTATGTATAATATGTATTACATCATATTCAATCTATGAAGCTAGAATAATAGGTCATCAGGTCATTATGAGTTCATAGAATATTAATTGTAACTGTATAGGTTAGTGTGGGTTCACATAATAATCAATGATTAAACATCTTAATTGATAATGATTTAAAATTCATCGCAATGTTACGAATGCAATTTTTTCTCTTCTGCTTTCCACTAAATTCTAGGTTTCCTGTAAATTAAACTCTTCCATTATATTTTTTTGTCTTACTACTGTTTGTATTTTTACTATTGTTTCCATTGCTTCTTTATTCATCGAGTTATTTTCAAGTAATTATTTTGCTTTGACAACTTAAACTGATGCACATTTGTATCAAATTTCCTAGTTGTATTCGATTGATTAGTTAATATCTATGATAAGGTAAGAATAATTATTGTTCATTGCTGATAAATTTTCAATATGAATGCCCTAGAATAATAATAATATTATTACTTACTATCACTGTTTGATTGGGATCATTAACCAACTAATTTTGTTGGTTTATTGATTAACTTAAATATCTAGGGTCAACAAATATGATCATCATAATATTCTAGGTAAAACAAACGGTCAAGGCAATCAAGTGTTGAAATTAAACTTTTAATGTTTTTCATTAAAAATTTGTTACTTTATGAAGAAGAAATCATCTTGTTCCTCTATCCTAACCTCATTTTTAAACTGCATCTTTTTGCCATTCGATTAAAATAGTCGACTGCTTTTTTTTTAAGTTATAAATTTATAAAAATGCATACACACCCAGAAAAAGAGAGAGACACTCAATTTTTATTTTTAATCTTTACCGTTTGTTTCCCCCCTACCTCCACACTACACGTATGACACACTTAGAAGCAGTAGTCACATATAAACTGATTTTATGGAGGAAAAAAATGTTTTTCTGCCAAATTATTCTAGTCTTGATTTTTTTTTCAATGTTCTGGTCAACTAGACACTAACTTAAACTAACAAACTAGAACTAATATCGATTAATAGTTTCTTCTTTCAGGCTAAACTAACTAACTAACTTACTGATCGATCGATCGATCGGTCGATCAGTCAGTTGTAGTATGGACGATATACGTTTATTGTTCTTTCTGTTGTTGTTGTTGTTGTTGTTGTTCATGATGATGATGATGATGATGGTGATGGTGATGAGGTTGGCAGTGGTAGGCGTGTGTCGTTGTTGTTATTATTATTGTTGTTGGTGTTGTTGTTGTTGTTGGATATTTTTCATCCATCTTTTTAACGTTCATTGGTTCAATTTTTAAGTAACTATTTCTTCTACCAGCGAAAATTGATATCTGTAGAGAGAGAGAGAGAGAGCGAGAGAGAGAGGATAAAGAAAAATTATATTCTTACCTTGTAAATCACCTTACTTGTTTATTCTTCAAATTTTTTTTACTTTTATTTATAAAAAAGCAAATCTTTTTTTCCGATTGTCTTCTTGCTAAATAATTTTTTTTTCTTCAGATTTCCCAAAGTTTGTGCTATGATGAAATGGGATTGAGAAGGATTGGAAAAAAAAAACAGTAGATTGTATATGAGAGATAAGTTAGAGAAAAGTGAAAATTATGTCTTATAAGTGTGTGCATGCATTGCAGTGTAGAACTGTAAATCTGTGTCGGATCTGCTTATATTTTTTGTAATGGTGATGCTATGTTGTTGGATACACTGGTGACACTTAATTATAATTGATCACATTTAACTAAATGAACAGCACGATCGATCTAAGAATTTACTTATGGTACATATACTGTGCCTTTGAATAGATTTGCAAAAGAAATGATTAATGATGTATGGATTATGTAAATTTTCCATCTTTGTGTCTTTGATGAACGTGTGTACTGTTGCGTCACAAATTAGAAAATTACTAAGCTAGTATGTATTTACCTATAGTATTAACCTATATAAGCTCCAACTGCTTGGAATTTCTCTCATGTATAGTTTAAAAAGCTAGTTGTTTCTGTCAATATCATAGACTATTTAACAGGACTTATTTTACGTCGATCAATTGTTCGTGCTCGGTATAGTTAGGACGCAGGTTTATTTATTTATTCTGCATAATTTGTTTCAAGCATTCACGCAAGCTGTCTTAATGATGAACATTTGAGTGTGTATTGTGTGTTTTTTACAGTATTTTTTATTACTTACATAGATAGCAGTCGTATTACTAGTGTTATTGTGTATTGAACTTCCAAGTTACACACTAGTATTTCTTGAATACAATGTTATCTGTTGTCTAAGCATAAACTATTAAACATGTTATTAATTGATAATCTTGATTGTTGTTTTCTGCAATTTATATCCTTTTAGTTAGTAGGCAATCATGATGGTTATCATTTCTCGGTTTTCAATACTGTCAAATTAAAAAAAAATAAGCTGTAAAGCATTGAATCACTTTAACTAACCTCTTACCTTCTTTTTTCCAATATCTACTCTATTAAGAACATGATCAATGTTCAATATGCTTTCTTAACAAGCTGGTACTTTACGACTAGTTGATGTTGATCTCATTTATTAGATAGAGAGAGAGAAAAATGAATATTCTCATTTTCATATCAGCTGTCAAATAAATATTAACTTGTTTTTCTTCTTACCATTTGAAACGGTACTACTTTATTTTTATATTTGTGTAAGTGACACCATTCAAGTTGTCCTATTGTAAATGAATTTAAAAAGTAATAATTTTTAAAAAGTTTTTTTTTCGTTGAAATTATTATTGTTCGATTGTTTTGGTAGAGGTGAATAGCGCTTGTTTTAATTTTTTTTTTAACTTCAAATTGTTTATATTTAGTAAAAATTTACTAAGATTTCAGTTGGATTAACGAAAGCGGTTATGTACTGTGTTGAATCGGGTGTACTGATTTTTTCCTTGAATAATTATTTTGAATGTTGTTTTATTTAATCATTCTTTCTATGTTTTTGTATTGTTGTCGAATAATTATATCAATGCATTGTGTCATTGTCAATTCTTTTTCTCTCTCTTATTTTCTACCTATATATTGATAACTGTGAAGCGTGGCGAATTGTGGTTTTTCTAATTAAATACACATTTTAATCACATTGTGTACACATCATGGTCATGGAGTGGTGATCGTTGTGTACGCTTTATCACATCAAATCAAATGACCTGTATATCTTTATATACCTGTCCGATTGGATTGTTTCTTTAAGTGTACAAAATGTATGAAACTATTTAGAAAAAATTCATGCATGAATCGTTTATACGTATACATATATGATGTATTTTGGTTACACTCTCTTGGTTAATCTAATAATCTCTTCATTTTCCTAATAAGTATGTTTGTAGTTATTACATGATCTCTTACGATGTATATATATATATATATATATATATATATATATATATTCATAACCATAGTCGTTGTGATAATGTTCTCTTCAGAAAAATACTGATAGAGGAAGGAAATAACACAAAAGTGTAAAAAAATAGAGATAAATCCTAAGATTACATACAATCTAATTGAATCAATCAATTGATCATAATACCAATCCAAAGCATAATAATTCACTATACATTAACATGATTTATTTCTCTTACCTTCACCAACTTACAATGATATCGTTGTTATGCTATGCTATCTTTAACTGTCTCAAAAACGATTGTAAACGAAGCAGTAAATATTTCATTAAACAAGTATTAAATGGCATTAAATTGCACTTGGCCTAAGAAATGCTCGATAAAGTTAAAAAAAGACATTGTAACAAATGGACTAAACGAAAATATTTATAGGAAGTTAAACACTGTAGGGCACCAACAATGAATTATCTAGGGAATAATAAAGCGACTGTGATACAAAAAAAAAAGAGAAATAAATCAAAAATGGGTTAATTGGACATTTTTTCTGTTGTTGCTTATTCTTTCTAATGAATGAATAGAAGAGAATTTGGGCACTGTTAACAATTTTTTTCCTAGTTAGTACAAAAATGCATATAATATAACAGAAAAGTTGGTTAAAAATAACCATTCATTAGAAATCTCTTTAAAAAAAACTTTGTCTTTCTTTAATGAGGGAAACAAGCAAACAAATAAAAAAGAGAGCAGTAAATGAACAACAGTACGTATATAAGCAAGAATATATTGGAAAATATTCAGATTAATTCCTTTCTTATTGATAATAATTCAATAAGATAAATTTGATTCAGATAAGCCATTTTTTGCTCAATTTAGTCGATCTGACTGACTGAATTAGTGGATTATAATGATCAAAAAAGCTTATTAACCATTCAGGTATGCAACTCAGTTGTTCAACAGTAAACAATACAAAAAAGAAGCTTCCTCTTGAACATTGAGTCTGCTGGATTATCTGATCTAACAGTTTTTACGTACACAAAAACAGACAATATTTAATCAATCGATAAAATATTCTGATATTTTACTGTCGACAAAACTAACTGATATGACTGTTAGCGTATGTGATAAATTTGATGTAGGCTAGATTTAGGCTACCTTGTATGAGGTCGGCAAGGCGATGGTTAGAGACCTAGAACGACATGGCTCAAAATCGTTTACAATGGCGCAGGTGCATCCACTCTGTGTTCTCTCAAACTCTAACGTTCTGAATTCCTTATAATCTCTATCTTTCTCCTTCTAAATTTATTTCACTGAATTATAGTTTTCGAATCATATCTTTGCTCCCTAATCTTCTCCATTACTGTTAATACTTATATTATTGGTATCACTCTTGGATTTGAACTGACAGTTACGTCTCTGTGCTGACGTGGTATGGCAACATGAACTGATGTACTTATTTACGAAGTTCTGCGTTGTATCTGTCTGTCTGTCTGTGATAAATTTGGAATTTCCTTAAACTATATTAAGAAGATAAAGTGAACCAATACCGCGTACATTAAGTTTTGTTTCTCTCATTCATAATTGTATTAGTTTAACTCTGGTTAATTTTTAGTCATAATTTACTCATACAATATATATCATCATTTGTCGTTCAAAACCGATTAACTTTTCATATCGAACATCGGTATTAATGTGTTTATCAATTTGAGATGATCCATGTATATATTGGTTAGAAGTTCCTTAACTCCTAACTAACTATACACGAAATGTATGCAATATGCTTAACTTAATTTTTTTAAAATATTCAATCACATCTCATAAGTTGTAGATTGTTTATACTGCAATCAATTTGTGTTCATTGATAATCTGCAAGTCCAGTAGTTATGTGCCCAGATATTGTTCAAGTTTCCTTGATTGTACAGTTTTTCGTTTGTTTCTGTGCAAACTTTTATTTGGCTTAAAGAGTATTTGGTTTGCATTGTACACTTGATATGTTTGCATTTTCGTCTTTTATTAATATTATGATTTTGTAATTATTCACTAGGTGAATTCGTGTCATTTTCTGATTGTCTGAATATATATATTATAAATACTAGATTAAACTAGGTCTGTACCTACGTGATTAAGTTCATTTTTCAAATTATCGATCGGAATTCATTGTTTGATTATCCAATCTTCTATGAGGAGATAGCATGAAATTTTTATCACTGAAAGTTTTGCAGCTTCATGGACATACACTGAATCCTGTAGAATCGATGCACTGCTTGTTTTTAGTGCCAACAGTCGAAATTCTATCATAGGTTGTCACTGCTTAAGGCTTTTTTTGACTATTTCAATTATTTGTGTTGTTTCATGTTTTGTTGGACATTTACATTGACATCATGAAAGAGATTATGACATCATTTTGATTTATTGATTGCAGTATTTGTTTTCAACTTATCTGCATCTGCCTGAGTGAACCATTGATAATATTTCAATAATACCATTTTGACTCATTCCACTTAATTAATTATTTTATTTATTTTAGTTAAAAAAATATATTCATATTATAATTATTATTCATGTGTGATTTGTTTTTATTTATTTATTTTCTATGTAAAGAGGGACTATGAATTCAAATAAATTCAATGGTCAATTGAAGAAACGGTTACAATTAAAACAAAATCAAATTGGCACATTTCATCGCTGGAAAGTTCAACAGCTACTATTATCACCATCGAATCTATCTATTCTGTCTTCATCAAATCTAGTACACATATCAAACCGAAAAAGAAATCAATTTAATTATTATTTTTTCTTTTAAAATATATATGAACTACGCATTATTATTATTATTATTATTATTATTATTATTATTATTATTATTATTATTATTATTGTAGTCATAATATATTTGTACATATGTACATTTGTTTGCCAATAAATTGACTGTGGCGAAAAGAAATAAATATAATTTTCTACTTCTTTTTTCCCTCCATGTTTTGTTTGTATTCAGATGGTGGTGATTTGGACCATTTTTTCTGTTTGCTTACGTTAAACTATTTCATGTATGTGTGAAATTAGTCTATTATGTTTGTGTGTGTGTGTGTGCGTGCGTGTGCATGTACCAACACATGAACTGCCTAAATCATGTCTAAATGTCATTTTGTCATAATCAATATTATCAATGGTATATCTTTCTTTTCATCTGTACACTACATAGGTTATACTACGTTACAGAATTTATGATGTTTAAAACTATTAAAAAATATCATAGTGTTACCATTTCAACTTGATATTTCTTCATTACACAATTTGGCTTATTTGATATAGGTGAAACAATTTCGTCAGTATAACAATATAAGGAATGGAACCAACTTTATTCCCTGAGAGAAAAAAGAGCCATAACGAAACTGTTGTATTTTTGAAGCGTGTCCAACAAGTTTCTCATGATTCTATTAATAAAAGCTTTGTTCAATATTCGATGCGAACTAGCATCGAGTTGATTATTAAGATACAACATTAATTTATGTATCTATCAATAATTTAGAAACATAGAGTAGTATATTTTACTTAATAATTAATCAAAGGGGTCGTTTATTCTTGTCGTTATTGTTGTTGTATAATATACTTTTCTAAATATTTTCGCCTAGTACAACAAGACGATATGAATATATATATATATATATATATATATATATATATATATATTTGTGTGAAATCACTCTGAATGATTTTTCAATTTCTCCTCAAGCCATATGCATACTAAAATTGTTTTTATCCAAGGAAGTTACAAATAATTCACAACTTGATCACTCACTCTTTCATAAATTGTAGTATATATATAGGAAAATAAAATTACAATCATCTTAGAGTTTTCTTACAACAAGGCTAAAAATAGAAAGATAATAGTTGGTATTGATTAATTGTTTGCAAGTTTTACTTTGAGAAATTGCAATTCTTCTTACAATGTGATGTACATATTCAATAGGTAAACTGTTGCAATTATAATGAAATAATATTGCTGATTTGACGTCAATGAAAGCAGTTTTTTTCTTTTTCTTTTGAGATTATACTACTCAGGTGACTGACTAGATTGTTTCTAGTCAATAAAGAGTGGAATGTCTTCTTTTCATTATCTTATCCTCTTTTAGTTTACTCTTGAGATTACTTAACCGGAAGTAAATTTTAATTCAACCAATCATATTTATTTCATGTTAGAATTGATACTGTGTATTTGATAAACATCTTATATATATATATATACACGTACGTATTAGAAAATTAATTGAACAAGCCAATAATTGTTTCATGATATTCTTCACGTGTACCAAAAAGGATCACTGGCCTTTGCTTTAAGAGATTCAAAATAGTGTATCGTTTATGATATTCTTCACGTGTACTAAGAAGGATTACTGGCATTTGCTTTCTGTTCAGTTTCTTATCCTGCTCCAATCATTGTCTCTGGTTCTGTTGACTTGTTTAGATGTATCTCTGTCTATGCATGTGTTTATATAGCCTTTAGTGAAATGTGTGTTGAAAGCGATGATCCTAGTTTTTTTTAAATATTTTTGAAGCTGATTGTATGTTTTTTTTCGTAGTTGCGACATGTGTTACGAATGCCCAACTACCGACTGCCTCGTCGAACTATGTTTCGTAGTGTGGAAATAGGTTGGAAGAAAGCTAGGGACGGCAGAGCAAAACATGTCAGGAATCCATAAAGTCACTGACAAGTGGTTGGAGCCATATCGGTAGGCGTCGATTACCTTGTTGGTGTCCGCGAGATGTTAGTAATCGATGGTTAGAGACCTTGAATAACATGGCTCAAGATAGTTTGCTGTGACGCAGGAGCATCCACTCTTTGTGTTCTCTCGAATTCTAATCTTCTGAATTCTTCATGACGTCTCTCGTTTTTTAAAGTTATCTCATTGAATTATACTACTTGAATCATATATTCGAACCCTAATCTTCTCCATTACTGCTAATACTTCTATCTCTATTACTATGTTATTTGAACTGACATTTGCTTCTCTGTGCTGATGCGGTACGGTAACCTGAAGTTCCACGTTGTAACTGACTTACTGACATTGTATTTTTTCTCTTGCTTCTTCATTTTTATCTATCTCAGTGAAAAAAAACAGTAATCAGTCTGTATCGTATCTGCTTTAAAATATAAATATAGTTGAAAGAAACCTGCTAACTCACTAGTGGACTGACTCCGTGTAACACAATAACTAACTAAAAAATATCTATATTAGTTTGTCCTCTTCACCTCTATCTTGTTATCCTCTTCTAATCAGTAATGAATGAAAAGGGATAATGATAAAATATTTCTGGATGAAATATTTCATTCTTTCGTTATACATATGTATAATTATAAATTTGAACTCTTCATCTATTGATGTCATCTTTGAAAAGTTTCAAATGTTTATCGGTTTCTCAAAAAAAGTATTGATTTACATTACAAACTTACTAGGAAGCCTTTCTTGTCTCTAATTAACTTAATTAGCTTATTCATAGGATGGCTTTTAAGATCTCACTCATTAATTTTTTGTGACTTTGTGTAAAATGTAAGAATTGCTATCTAATTCTATTGATCTGTCGTTTGTTCATTGTTATATCGAGTCAAATAGTTGTTTTACTCCTCCTATCTAGCTAATCAATGCCTAGTTTTTTAATTCAGTCTTATTTTTCTTCTTAACTCAAAGTTTACCAATCGTTTATTTTGTATGCATGCGTCTCTTTAGTTTTAATTTTTTATTTTTTGGTACTGCAATGTTGATAATTACCTATCATACTGTCGCCAATAGGTGGGTAAATGCTAATAGTTTTGTCTGCTACATTTCATTATGCTATAACACGAGATTTTTTTTGCAATACTTACCTGATGATAAACACAGGCTGGGACTATATTTTGTCCACCAGGTTTGATATAGTTACTTTCAATATGAAAATTCATATATCAGGCAAATATTTCTAATTGTTGTAACGGTGGAATATTACGTCATAAATAATTAATTCCGAATGTGATTGATTAATGGATTAGTCTTGTATATCAAACTAATTATCGTTTTATTGTTATCATTGATGCGATCTAGGTTTGAGGATGATTTTAAAATCATTGTTCAATAAAGACGCTTAGTTGAAACATTGAAAAGTAATCTGGGCTAGACTATTTACAGTCTCATCAATCATCCATAATGCAGCTGATCAGTACTCACATGCACAAGTTTCTGTACTGAATATAGTTTGAGATTTAAAGATCGATTACTTTAAACATCTCCTCTTAACCGTATATAAGGCTGTGCAAATTTGTTACTTTTTCATTGATTAGCTTCTAAGAAGATTGGCATTGTCAAAATCATTTTAATGCTGGTAATTTAATTATAGCTTAATGTTTCGTTGATTTAAGTAATCTGTGTTTATAATTGTGTATAGTATTCATGAAGTATTTTCTCGAATTTTCCAAATTTTTGCGATATGAAAAGCGAATTGGTAAACTATTTCTAATTCTATGCAATTTTTGAACTGGAAAAATGTGAAGTTCAATGAAGTGAAAGCGATCTATCAAGTTGATTTACAATTATGTATTCTGTTCAACTTAATTGGCTTACAGTTTCTAAATTCAGAAATTTCTATTAATTTTAAACTTATTTGCACTAATCTCCCTCGTTACTAAGCTCAATTTATGCGTTTCCAGTTGTAGTATATCCCTTTGTAGAGTTTTAAATAAATTGGGATTCATTTTTTCCAGGAAAATAAGTTTTATTTTTGAGTAATGCGTTAATTATAGATTTTGTTCCTAATGTGAAGCTTATGCTTGAAGTATTTATTGTTCTACTTTAACACTAAAAACAAGTCAAAATTATTATGGGATCATGGTGATGCAGAGAAAATAGATCGAAAAATTCCATATTAGGTACTCATTACTTTATCACTTTCTTTGAGGTCATACTGATGTTCAAAGAACACAGCCTATGAACTTAATTTTGTTATCCTTCCTGAGATATATGCCACCCCCTAATTGATCTACGACCAACTCTGCTCCCGGTTTTCTTTTCCATTTGTTGTCAAGTAGTAGTCCTAAGCCTGATATTTCCCTCCAGTTGCCGGCCCAATGTGTTTTTGGTGTTCCTTTGCCTTGAGCATTCTAATCAAGGAATTGTCTTGTAATACAGTTTAATGATATCCACAGAATGCACCCTACAGCATCCTTTCTTAATTTTGTCTTCAACAGACAACTGGCTTTCTCTCGGCTACAGTAGACTATTATTAATGGTGTTTAGCCAATGAACCCGGAGTATCTTGTATAGAAAACTTTATAAATGCCTGTACTGTTTTAGTAGTTCAAGTTTCAACACCATACAATAAAACTAATTTGATGGTGTTGAAGAATTTAGCCAGTAAAAAGAGAAAAGACGAAAGTGGTCAGCTTTGCTTGATACAGTCTACAATTGGGATTCGTCTTATAAGTTACCCTCCATCCATGAATTTGCAATTCGTTTGACTGTGAAAGTCTCTTAAGATGGTGAAGATCTTTTTAAGTAAGTACCCCATATTGTCGAGAAAGATTCTACAAATCTCTCATACCCGTGCTGTCGAATTCTTTCTCATGATCAAGGAAGTTGATATATAGCGATAAGTGCCATTCAATCGATTGTTCAACAACGATCAGCAGGGTCATGATTTGGTTGTCACATGATTATCCCTACAAAAGCCAGCTTGTTGGCGCATATGTTGCGTACATATTCAATATTGTCTATTCTAACTTCGGCGTTTATCATGAGTGTCAAGTGTTTTCCTTGGCTTTTCTGTTGGATGGCCCGCAGCCTTTCATAAAATTGGTCTTTATCGTCGTCTCTGACATCATTGTTGCGTGTTTAGCATTGGAACTGGCATTAATTCGAAAGAGAGTTTATGTGGAGTTAGTTTTTGTTAGTTTGATATTTTTATACCAGCTAATATTAAATAATTTAATTTTAAAATGTTAAAGCTTTAGATACATAATATGTAATATATATATTTACTTCATTCTTTTTCCTCTACTTTTTAGCTTCAGTACTTTCACCACATCTAATCAGTAATTTTAAAACATCAGCATCCAGAATATTCAAGTGTGAATTTGTGAAAATTTGTTCAATCTCCTTTAGCAAGTGTTCAAATTATTCATTGAGAAGTTAGCTCAATTTATTTACGCTTGTTTCATCATTTTTCTCTGTTTATTTGTCAATGTGCACAACTGAATAATAATAACTTTCGTGAACTTTTCCTATTGTATATAATTATATATATTTATACACATATAAAAAATAATCCAATCAACGGGATGGATCATCCAGAGCCAATTTCCAAACGTCCTATAGATATCCCACAATGTCGTAAAGGTTTTACTTTGGAAGAAGCAAAAAGTTTTGTCGATCAAATTATGGAAGTATTTCGTAATTTAGATGATATGACAGATCTACGTTCAATGTATGAAACTGGGAAACAATTAAGTCGATCTTATTTCGATTGTCATGCGTATCGTGTGGAATTAGCGCAATATTTGACCAATTGTGATTATCCTGCATTTGCATCGAAAATGATGAAAAAATTAAATAATATGGGTGTATTTAAAAATGATGATATTTGGTTTTCTTCATTTTATTTCTATAATACAACATGGAATTTTTCTGATATCTGGCCGGAATTTGCTACTGCTCTAGCTGTTGCTGGTCTACCGAATCTACTCAATTTAAATATTGGTCATCAACCATATTTAGAGAATTTAAGTAGTAAAAATGTATACTACTTAATCAAGGCTAGTTTATCTATCATACATAATATAGCTCGTGTTCCAGGTAATACACATTATTTTACATCTGAATCAGTTCGACAAGCATTATTACATTTAGCTCAACGAGAAGAAGAATTTCTACGCTGTGTTTCTACTCTTTGTTTAGCACATATTATAACTGAGTCAGAAATTCATTTGATTACTGACATATCAAATGGTGGTGTTGATTTGTTAAGAACTTCATTTGGTTATGTTACATCGGCTCGTGTTTCGGAGAAACGAAGATGTCATGGATTTCAAGTGCTTGAGTTATTATCTGCTGTTGCCGCTTTATCTGTTCTTGATCCTATTAAAGCGACTTTATTGTCATCACCTGTTAATGTGAATTTAATTGCTGGTACAAATAATCAAAGCACAGAACATGGTATGACATGTTTAAGCTTACTGAAAGAATTAATTGAAACTGCATTACTGCCTAATTCTAGTCCTGTTTCTGTTAGAGAAGCAGAAGAAGCTGTTCGTATCCTATGGAATACAGTTTTTGACACATCTATTAGTACAGGAGTTTTACAGATGCAGTTAACAAGTTGGTTAAGTGATACCATGGCAAATTATGCAGTAGCTTTACAATCCTATAAATCACTTTCACGTGCAATTGAATCTATTAATTGGCAATTGAATACTTGTATTTCTAAAAATCCTAAAAATGAACCTACAGAATGTGGTCCTGTATTATTATGCTTTTCGCCATCTAATCGTATTGCTGTTAATCGAGTTGCTGATCGTTTAAGAGATGCTGGAATAGTGCTCAATAGTATACCTTTTGGTCCCGAAGTAATATCATCAGTAGATGCTTCAGCAACTGGACTTACCATGTGTGGGGCCAATGCTACAAATCATGCTCAATGGGTTGAATCTGTTGAACAAGCTTCAGTTATGATTGCATTTTTAAGTGATTCATTTCGTCTAAGTCCTGGTTGTCGATGGGAAGTGGAACATTTTACTAGTTTTGATACTAGCCTGTACTCAAAACCTATAATTCCTGTTATACTGCAGCCAAAATTTAAGTTGACCGGTTGGTTGACTCGTCTTATTACTCAATACCCAATTGATTTCAATGGTAAACGTGATCCAGAAGCAAGTTATGATGCTCTAATCAATCAAGTAAAGGAATCTTACGGAGAAGCAAAGAAGCGCGCAGAGGCTGCTGCCGTGGTTGCTCCACAACACCAATTATCTGTGGATGCTAAAAAACACTTGACGACCTCAGGCGACACTGGATTCCCTGGAATACCTAATGCAGACATAGCCGTGAACCACATCAACGCTAGCCCTATATTGAGTAGTCGGGGTTCCCTAGGTCTGTCCTCCAGCATTAAACGTGAAGAGGCACTTCCCTTAACTAGTCAAGCAGGACTGCCGAGAATTTGCAATCAAAATATGATTCCAATGCAATCGAATGTTACATCCCAACCTTTGGCAACCAATGCTTGGCGTCATGCTATTCGTCCGTCAGTTCGTAATTGGTCAACCTGCAAAGTTGCTTCATGGTTGAAATTTCGTAGATTGGGCCACGTACCTTCTCAAATCGCTGGTGGTATAGATGGTATATTATTATCTCAGTTAGCTGGGTTACGTATTTGGGCTCCCGATTACTTCACCCAGTGTCTACGATCTGAACTAGGTCTTGATTTCGCTGATTCCCTACGCTTTTTAGAAGCACTGGATGAGCTTGCTCCAGAAGGCGGTGATAGCCATGATGAAGATGCTGATGATTGTGTAGACGGGCGTCCTCATTTTGGAAATCATGATGGAACATCTAGAGCATAGTAGTTTGTTTGTTCTTGTCTGTTGCCGCAAATCGTTGGTCTCGTGGAATGGATATTTCAGTAGAGTTCGCATTTTTTTGAAAAAATGAGATGTTTTTTTTGTGAACCCGGCTCACTCAAGATATGTTACTGTACACTGTAGTTGAGAAAACCTCATAATAAATAATTTCACTCAGTTAACATTGTGTTCTATCATTGTTTCCTTTATTCACTCCAACAGTGTGCTGTTTTTTCCTCTCTGTTTTTTTTCTTGTTCTCTGGTCTATTTGATTCCGATTTTCTAGTAAAACAAAACCTGAACAGATTACCCATTTAATTTACAATAAATTATGTTCATTCCTTTATATATTACTATGAAATGATTGATTAACACTACATGTTCTGCTGCATTCGTTTACTATTCTGTTACATATATAGTGTTGTTTAATTTCACTTGTTTCTTTTTTGTTTGTTTGCATTTTTGTCAAATATGATGATGTATGTATAATGTCAATGAATGATTTGTTATTCCTTCATTTGTAATCTGATCTGGCATGTGTACAATTTCCAAGTGTAAAAATTCATGAAATCTAATTATCCTAATGTAATCGATCTTTTGATGAGTAAGGCTAATATTTTCAACAACAGTTTTCCCCTAATATCACTGTTGTTAAACACTTTTGTTGTCAATAATATAAGTTTGTGAATTTTCCTCACATACTCACTCTTTCTCTCTCTATCTCTCTAGCATACACAATACAATAAATGCATTTGATTAGTTGAAAGAAACGGGGATTAAGAGTATTTTTTTTGTTCTTTTTCTCAATTACACAATTTTCCTCTGATTTTGTTTTGTAAAATTTGTTCATTATTATGATTATGATGATTATGATCATCGTTACATTGTATTGATGGATTTTCTCAAGCCAGTTCTACTTCATTCATTTTTGATCATATTTTGTTTTCTAAATAAAATTAATCATAAAATTGTTTAACTGTTGTAGTTAGTTAATTGAAACCAATCAAATAACCTCTTCCTAATACTGCTTCTAAATAATAGTACAAATAATACTTACTCTACCTCTATTCGTAACAATTCATATACATAGATACATAACTTAAATATATATACATATATGAATTCATTGTATATTCGTCAGTACACTATTGTTATACTATTTAACAAATTTTTAATCGTTTATACTACTTACTAACTAGTAAGAACATTAGTTGATTATTATTGACAATGGCAAGCGATGATGAACAAAACTACTTCAAACTATAAATCTGTATAACGCAATCATAAATTGAATTGTATTTTCTCAAAATTCAAATAAACTATTGTCTTTTTCTTTGAGAAGAAAAAAGAAAAACAACCCGATTTCCTTTATTACAATATACAATGTATTGTATGTGTGTGTAGTATTTGTAGATTCTTTGTCTTTTTATAGGACTTTCGCTCCAGTGTACTAGTGTACTTGTTAATTAAATTCACTGGAAATGCGCATCAAACAATTACAATATTATTATTATTACTATTATTATTATTATTATTATTATTATTATTAATGTTATTATAATTGTTGTTAATAATACTAGTATTGTGTTTTGGATAAACCGAATTCTTTTTCGTTAAAAAACTATCTCTCTCCCTATCTATATATAGATACAAAGATCAATTATATTCAGTGATAAATAATTTTCATAGATAATTTATAAATATATTAAATATATATATATATATATATATATATATATATATATATATATACCAAGTAAATTAGTCGAAAGATTGTCAAACAAAAAACAAAGTGAACCGCGTAATACAAACCAATATCGATCGACATTGTGTTGCTCTGTATGTCCAATAGTTTTCTCCTCTTTTTTTTTTTACTACTACTATTACTATTACTACTACTACCATTATTATTCATTTTGTTTTTGAAAATAATAATCAATAATCTATCGTGAATATTATTAATGCTGCATAAATATCTGATTGTCACAATGTTCTCGATTTCGATTGTGTGTTCACGTTTTGTTTGTTCGTTTGTTGGTTGGTTTTTTTTTATATAATACTTCTATTATTCACTTTGAATATGCACTATATACATATATATACTTATGTCTGATGAAAAGAATTAGCAAGTTCGCTTTATTTTTCAATGGAACGATTACATATTGTTGTTTGAGAGACACTTAATTAAGTAATTGTAATCGTGTGTATTTTCTTGTTGTGGATATTTAGGATTGACATTTAGATGAAGCGATTATGGTGTATTGTTTGGGGCAAGTTATATTAGATAGTTGTTGGTAAATGAGAATTTGATTGAAGAATGCTATTAGATACTACATCAGGATTTAAAAAATCTCTAAAGATAATGTGTTTACACAATTGTGTAGATTGATAAAATGGTATATTGTTGAGTGTTCGTTAGAATACTGTTTCTAATATCGATGTAATAAGCCTGTCGTCTCTATCCCGTGGAAAACGTGTGTAATTTACTGGAATACTATTAATTATCCCATCGATTCTGTTACTTATAATAGAACTATCTTCTTAGTTATTAAGTTCAGAAGATTAAAATTCCAGAGAACACAAAGAGTGGATGCACCTGCACCATTGCAAACGATTCCCAGCCATCTGGTTCAAGGTTTCTAACCACCTTGCCTATCTCAACCAAGTACTCGACACCTACTGACATGACTCAGTCCACTTGTCAGTGACTTCATGGATTTCTGCCATGTTTTAGTCTGGCCGCCCCTGGCTTTCTTCCAACCTATTCCTGCGTCGCAAAATATAGCTCGACGAGGCAGTTAGTGGTTGGGCATACGCAACACATGTCCCAACCACATCAACTGACGAAGACTCACTACTTCATCAATTGATCTGCCATCCTTACCTAGTACTCCTTTCCTAACAACAGCATTGCTTACTCGGTTGTTCCAGGATACACGAGCAATGCTCTGAAGACGTCTATAATCGAATACTGATAATCTACGAATATCCTCAACTCATACCGACCATGTTTCACAGCCGTAAAGTAGGACAGAGCGAACTGCTGCACATAACACGCGTCCTTTAGTTAGCAAACTGATATCACACCTACGCCATAAGTGACGCAAGTTGGCAAAAGCCAATCTAGCCTTCTGTATCCGTGCTGAGATTTCGTCAGGCCATCTCTGACCATTAAGAATAAATTGTTTACTTCTGACCATGTGTGAGTAGCGCTTTATCTAAAGTATGGAGAAAAGGCTGTTACACTAAGGATTCAACTTGTATTGATAAATTTTCATCTTTTTCGACTACTCATTTATGTTTTATCTCATCGTTAATATGACTAGAAGGATTTCTTATCAAATAATTAGAACCCTTTTTTTCCTGTAAATAGTAGTATAGATTTTTTATCATTGAGATACTTATATCACATGTCAACGAAGCCCAAGGTCATCAACAGAATGATTAAAAGCTTAATCGAATAACAGAATATTTTTATCTTCGTTTCGCATTTCACGCTTATATGTGGAACTACTGAGCGGGCAATCGTGAAGTTAAGGGAAAACGTTGAAAAGTCGGTTGATGAGGTTGTCTTTATTGACTAAGGACGCCAGGATATATGTACAGCGAATGTCTACCTCAACTAGGAATTTTAGCTGGAATAACAATAGGTTACGCCATATCAAGGCGTAACATTAACTATTGATCTTAACCATATTATTAAGTGTTCGAATCCAATCACACTGTCTTTCTCTAGCTTAAGTATTTCATCATACATACGTCTTCATTCTTAGGAACATGGATGAACACACTTTCTATTAGGCTCGGTGTTGTTCTTAACTGACTAGTATAGGAATCACTATACTGAGTAAGAGTCTAATTAACTTTGAAGCAAATCAATAATCAATCTAACAAGTGTTTGTTCAGTGACACCATAGTAATGTCTCATCACAATCTACAACTCAATAGTGTCGTGAGTTCACTAATCGTGAATTTGTGTATGCCGAAGATCGATAGCTTCAATCACAATCTACCCAACACCATCACTTCAGTCATAAAGCTAGCTGAGTATATTGCATATATTTCATGCGTTCAACACACCTGATTGATTATGTACTTAAAATACTTGGTCACAAAATACTAAAGCTATTTATTTACACTACACGCATAACGAAGTTATTTTTTACATGAATCTGAACAATATCTTCATCATTTAATTAATCATAATCTGTGAACATTAAAAGATTAAAATAACATGATGTTGAGAAAAAAAATTAGCCAGATTTGTAGTAATCCACCTGTTTAATAAGTACACAGAAAAAAAAATATACAGACTGATTTTTTTAAAAATAACTTTCCTAATTTCACTTACTCTTCTTGTCCTCTCCTGTTAGTTTTTCGCCACCTAATAAATGCATGAAAGTATGGTAAAAAAACAACAACAAACAAACAGTGGATTATTTGAAAATAGGATTGTTGTTCCAAAATATTTGGCTACTTCTAAAGAATTCAATATCTTGTGCATAAAGAATTTAACTATTGTGTCAGTTATCTACTAGATATCGTTTTGAAAAGTATCAATAAACAAACCATGAATAGTAGTAGATCATCGAATTTCTGAAACTTGTTCTCTACTTGAATCATAGAAATTTATCAATGATAAAGTTCGACTTACAATGAAGTAAAAAAAGTAATCTTCTTGTTTGAATACATGTTTAGTTGGTGTGAAAGTACAATGGAAAGATTGAATTAACCTGATATATCTACCTAAAAATAGAATTATTTATACCTGGAACTGAAATTGGTCATAAGAAATTTTCTTACTATAACTAACTAACTAACTAACTAACTTGGCCAGTGAATTAAAATACTACATTTGAATTTAACTATTTTTTGTAATTGGATAGCATGAACTAACGATTTGTTTCATATATATATATATATATATATATATATATATATATATATATGATTTTATATGATAAAATTGTTCAACGATTTAGGTCATTTCATGTCAGCATCTTCATACTCTTGACATAAAACAAAATCTTGGAATTAAAATTTTCATCTTGAAGAATAAATGAGATTCCGGCCTATTTATTAAATGAATACAAATTATGTCAAGTGAGAACAATAAAAAAAATTTCTTTATTGTAAGAAATTTGAATGCTTGTTTTATTCAATTAACTGTTGACCTAGTAAATTAAAGAAATATTCATCTCTCTACCAAATTCCAACGTTAAAATAAATATTTCTCAATATCTTGTTTATTCTAAGGTGAAATGTTTCAGTAATTGAAACAAACAAGTCAGAAAATAGAAGTAGGAGTAAGTATTGATTTCTTTTTCCTACATCCAGAAAGAAATATAACCTCATAAAATGTATAACTTTATTAAATAGATGATATAACGCATAAGTAGTGATAAACTGAATTCTCACGTCACCGTACGTGATTCGACGAAAAGGCCACCTATGAATGTACTGTCCACGCTTGTTATTGTCATATGGATGTAACGAATGCGAAAATTGAAAATATTCTCAATCTAACAGTTGTGGAATAAATCTAATCGTATGGCACTTTCTATTAAATATGCCCTCAAGGAATGTGATTTTTGTTTTGTTAAGGACAGTTTGTTGTGTTGTTTTTATTATTTTTTATTTTTTTTTTGTGGCTCATTCCAATCAAACTGTTTGCCTGAAGATAAAGAATTTGTGAATAACAGTAAATTTTCAAGGAAATGAAATTCTTCTTCTTTTCACAATTACAAGAAAGATGTAAAAAGAAAATGATGATGACCTGAGATAATGTGGTAAACAATACTAATAAGAATACTAATCATTAGATACGAATAAACGCGGATTTATACACAGTGAATATTTGAAATTTGAACTAAACGCTTCCTTCAGTATACGTCGTAACGCGTGTAACCCGTACAACGCATAAATGATATCACTTTATTATGCATCAAAGTAACACAGAGACTGATTGGTATCTTCCATCAATTAAAAGTTTCTTGGATTTGTTCCCGATGATTTATTTATTCTTGCTCTTTTGTATGAAATTGAAATGGCCGAATAATTTATTTCTCAAAGAATGTAAGTGTATAAACATAATAAGAATGTGAGAATTGTTTAGCTGAGAAATATCATTCGGTATGGCTTACATGCTGTTACAATTGAACTCATCCAATTGAAAGAAACTCAATTGCATCAAAATCATGTTTATAGGATGAAGATTTTGTTTTTCCTAAATAAATTCTAGACTTCACTTGTTGTCTTAATCATGTAATAAAATGATAAAAGACTTAAGTAAATCAATCAATTTTCTAGTAAGCATACTTTTCTAATTTTTTTTCTTTCTTTAAACTTGAAAAGAAAAACAAACAAAATGTTTTATGTTTTTCATTCTTGATTTTATAAAATTTTATTGTTGCATGCAAAAATCAAAAATTTTAATAGATTATAAAACCATGATAAATTTGTAAGATTGACAGTTATATATTATTTAAAAGAATTAACTATTTTCTTAAATGATTGAACGAACAACTCGAAGAATA